GACTTCACATATTTTCGAAATATATATATTTTTTTTTTGTTATTATTTCGAAAATATGCAGGTTTCCTCACGATGTTTTCCTTCACCGCGGAGCACGTGATAAGTCAGCACTTAAAGTTAAAAACTTCATTGGTGCCGGCACCGGGGATCGAACTCAGGTTGCTCGAGTATCTTGAATTAAAGGCGAGCGCCCGGACACTGAGCTATCACGGCTCATGTGACTAACAAGGCTAATGTGAAATATTCCTATATAATTATATTTTCGTGGCATATGGATTAAACATTAACAAATAGGTGAGAAATAAAACAATTGATAAGCAATATTGTTAGTTTACAAAGCTTTAGCTAAAGTCGAAAGAAGTTATGTATCCCGTAATTAAGTGCCTGGGTCTCGATGAGTACCGATATTTTTAACTTCATTACATATTCATATCGCACGTCCGTGACCTGAATCCGGTTCTAGGGAGCGTTGTCAAATGACAACAAATGCGATTTGTTCAATCTTTCCAGTGTCAATTCCCGGGTTGAAAGCGTTGGCGTTGAGCGCAATGAGTGCTGCAATGATGTAACTGCGATTAAGTACGTTAATAAGTCAAATGGTGATTCTGAATGAAGAAATAATGTCTATAAAAATAACACTAGTAGTTACTTTGTTTGGTATCAAAATCCTACTCGTATGTCGTCCCACTGCAGGACTAGGACCACCTCTGGACATAAGATATTATGGAAATGTCCGCCTTGGACTCTACTATGGACTTCGCGTAACTTTGAAGCTTCTGCTGTTGCACGGCTGGGCTGGCTCGTCCGGGGAATTACCAGGGCCTCACAGAAGAACGGCGCGAAGTAAAAGAACTATCCTTTCGCGTTTCCTCCGACGAGTGAAGTAGCCGGATCCGCTTTGTAGTTGCGTCTGCAATCCCTTAAAGCTGTAGATGACCGTGCGCGGCGGTCATCTCTTAACATCAGGTGAACCGCCTGCTAGCTTGCCATCCTTTCACTCATAAAAAACAAGAACAGAAAAAAGCGAATACATGGTAAATCAGCGCTCAAAATTGCCGTTAACAATTTCACCGGGTTTTGAACTCGGGTTACTCGAGTGATGTGAATGACAAGTGAGCGCCGGTCACTGAGCTACTATGGCTCAAAATTGTTTTATTAATTAACGAAAACCAAAACCGACTTCAAATATCTCGCTCTGTATTCATTTTATAAGAATGACAAAGGAATGACTTTAATGACTAATTAAGAACGTCTGCAAATGAAATCACAAATTTCACGGGCACTTAAAGGGACTTAATGATATGATGTGGCTATCAAATGGAACAATTTAATAGACGAAGCAGTTGTTCTTGCTCTATTGTAACATGAGCGAGCTCACATCTGTTACTAACCGAATTCGTAATAGATGTTATTTTCACTTGATCTTTCATGGCAATTCATTCAGCTTTGGTATTGTCATTTTGTTTTTTTGTTTAAAGAATATTAGTAATTGCTGCATACTTCAGGTCCACTTGTAAAGATGTTCGGTTTTTAAACCATTCCTTGTCGTAGATACTATCAGGAAGTACTGTCAAAAATGCCAATAGATAACGGCAGTCGCTGCAAATTCAATGCTACCACGAAATTCCACGCACGCCATACAAAAGGGCTTACGCGAACGAACTGGAAAACCCAACATGGACACAGCCATATATTCCCTGACCCAGTGACTTTATGCACTAACCATATAAACTTATCGTGAATAAAAATTCGATACACGCAAAAACACTTGTATGTCAACAAAAACGTTTTTTTCTTCATGTGAGAAGATGGCAAGCGAGCTGGCAGTCCACCTGATGTTCAGCGAAAATAAGCCCAATTTTCAAAAGGTTTTCAACGCATCTGAAACCCCCGGGTGTAGCAGATGTCCATGGGCGGCGATATTCACTTAACATCAGGTGAACCGTCTGCTCGTTTGGCAACTTTTTACATAAAAAAAAGCGATAACCGTCGTCCATTGACATTTGCAACACCCGTAGGGTTGCAGATGCGTTTCCAGCTTACTATCTCACTCAATGGACGAAAGTGTAACACTTCCACATCGCGCTGGCCTTCTGTGAGATCGTGGTAAATCCCCAGACATCTGCCAATTCGTACCACAGCGAAGAATTCTAACAAGAAGTAAGAGTAAATCAGTAGCTTAATAAATGATAAAACATGACTTAACCAGAAGGAAGAATGACGGAAATCGTGAAAGAATAGTCATCTCTTGTCCAATTTGCCATCAAAACTTCTAATAGTTTGTCTGTGTGAAAAAAATGTCAAGAATGTTGTCTACAGCTACAATTCTATTTTAAATATGAAATTGAATGAACATTATTGGACTAGTCATTTCTATACACGAAAAAGGCCTGCATTCTTAGCTGAAATTGTCGTGATGAGAACTTAAAATATAGCATTGCATACAATATAGCATTAAGCTCGACTTTGTACAAATTTTCAGTGCAATAAAGATTAAATAAAAATAAAATAAAATATAATCAGAGTATTTGAAAATAAAATTATCCTAGAAACCTTTTAAATCCTTTTTAAAAGTTGTTTTTCGACACAAGAAAATATTTACTATTTTTTTATTTATTGTTACACTAATTCCAACATAAATATTACTGCGACATCGTTGGTCTAAACACAATCCTTACCTGATAGCTTAAGGTCGCCTTAGTTCTAACACATCTTAACTGAGCTCTGCAAATGGACGATTGTCGGTCGACGAGGACAAGGTTAAATCGGTCGCTTTGCACATAGCCAGACGATAAGAGAATGCAGAGATCGTTTGAATAGAAAGGAATGGACTATAAATGGATATGCCTTGGCTCTTTATAGCTCACAGGTGGAGATAGAATTTCGTCTCAGAGCAACACATAAAATTCATACAATTTCATTTCACTTAAATTAAGGTATGGGGATTTGAGAAAATTGTCCTTGTATCGCAGATGATAGGTAGAATCAACTTGATTGGACACGAACCTTAGAAACCCGGCCAAAGACGAGTCGGAATCGCGCACGAAGGGTTCCTTATCAATATCTATAAAAACGGAAAAAAATCACGTCTGTTTTATGGGAGCCCTCTTAAATATTTTTTTATTTAATTCTGTGTTTTAGTATTTATTATTATAGCGGCAACAGAAATACATCATCTGTGAAAATTTCAACTATCTAACTATTCATAAGATACAGCTTGGTTACAGACGGACAGACAGACAGCGGAGTCTTAGTAATAGGGTCTCGTTTTACCCTTTGGGTACGGAATCCTAAAAATGTATGTTTCAGACGAGGTTAAAGTTGTCAGTATTACGCGCCGTGTTGCAAGTTCGATCCTGAATTTTTGACAAACATCCCGAAATAGTGGTAAGTTTTACTTTTGATTTCATGTTTTTAAAACCCCCCAACCCATGGGCAATATTGAGGAAGACATGACTTTATTCCGTCTAGTACGGATTGTCGTCCAGTGGTCGAAATTCGACCGTAATTAATTTAAATTACTATAAGCTATCAGTTTGAACAATATTAATCCATTCTCAATTTGACCACAGACTTTAATACAATCACTTTCGTTGGTTAATTTATAGAAATAATATTTTTATTTATTTAACTTCAAAATTTGTTACAAACTTATTGATATAATACAAAACTCTTAACATGACTGAAATCTACATTGCATCTACATTGTCATAGGACAAACTCGGAAATAAAATATTTCATTTATATAACATTAAAATTATATATTTAAATCTATATATGTGAATAATAATCTGGAATAATCATGGTGGTGATTATTTCGTACTTTCTTGTATCTCGCCGATGTCGTATTTTTAGTTCAACTACGCCACCCTTACGGTTGCATAAATAGTATTGTATTTTAGGGCACATTTACCCGATTGGCCACCGTCCCTTCTTGTCGTACCAAAAATATATTTATACTAGCGGACCCAACAGACGTTGTACTGTACATACGACTTAAATCCGACAACTTACAAATAAAAAAATAAAAAAGTTGTAGTCTCCCGTCCCGAAACCATTCTCGAATCGAATTGAAGACACAAAAAAGCTATTTTATGGATTTCAACACGTTATATATATCGTACCGTCGAAAATTACTTTAGTTGACAGTAGACAGACGTAAATCTGACATTATCATTCTGATAATATATATACCTCGAGGGATCAGAACCTAAATTAGACGCTTTTTTAAACAATACTCCATTAAACAAATAAACGAAATTAATGGTATTCGATCTGTAATTTTCGTCTTTGAATACTACACGTGATGATTAATTACACAACAGTGTTATATAAATTGTTTGAGAACTTTCTCAAAGCCTTCGAATATCCACCACAATCATTCGAAGAAAATAATAATTTACTGCGTAGCGACACAATTGTAATAATAAAGAGGGGAAATCTTAGATATGCGAAAACTTTAAGAAAACTTACCGAACTTTGCAGTTCTGCGGTTTTATGGGTTTTTATTACGATATCAAAATATTCCTGATTATTCTTTTTACAGCTTTCCCTCATTTCATAATGTAGCTTGCGCCCTTTGATTTAAATGAACATGAATAGTATTTTCTAAGTATTTTACTTTTCTTATATTTTAAACTGTTTCAATACTAAATATACCTCTGTTCAACTGCAGGGCATGCCTCTACAAAGCGCTTTAAAAACATCCTCGATTGTTGTTTGGCAAACATCACACATCTTCAAAGCATTTTATTTATCAGCCAAGATGGCTGTTGTATCTAATATATAATAAATATATGGTTTCCTTCATTCCTAAAGCTCCGCTAAGAATGTTACGAACCAACACTTGGGTTTTGAAATTGTTTCGTTACAGCTAACGATAGACAGCTGACAACCGCCGCTTTAGGTGTGTAAGTTATAAGTTACATATAATATTCAATATTATATGTAACTTATAACTTGCGTATGCATAACTTACAGGATCTTAAGCTTTTACTTACCCTCGTCTAATGTGAGCGCTTGCGATGCCACAGCCAACGCGAGCAGTGCGACAAAGCGACCGCACGTGGCCAAGGAAGCCATACTGCCTGGGAACGGAAATAACGGACGTTATCCAATCTGCTTCCTGATTCATTGCATATTGAATGCAACACACTACGACTTAAATGTTAGATTCTAGAGTACATTTTTGCAGCTTATTAAAAAATAAGGTAGTGCGCGTTTTGTCTGTTCTTATTTTAGTGAAAATTTGTCAAGTAAGAGGGCGGTTCACCTGGTGTTAAGTAAATACCACCGCCCATGGACATTTACAACACACCAGGGCTTTTAGTTTAGGGCTGCATTGCTAACTTTCAATAAAGTGGGCCCCGGTTACCTCACTTACCAGGCAAAACACCAAAGTTAAATACTTCCACTTTACGGCGGTCTTCTATGAGGCTGGACTTGCCTGCTCATTCTTGCAACAGCTGAAGTGACCCCAACTGTTGCCGGGAGTGCAGATGCGTTGCTTTTTATTGGCAACTCATCTGCAACCTCGCAGATGTTGTTGAAATCCATAGGCGGCAGTGATAATTTGAAAATAATTAAACCGTCTGTTCGCTTGCCACCTTCTTACTTAAAAGTGCTAATAGCAATAAGTAAGTAGCAGTTGTTTTAACGGCTGAACAAATTTTAATGCAATTTGAAATTGCGATAGCTTTTGTTTTTAGTAGCGAATTTAACCCTATCTTTGGCACTTTCGTATAAAGGTAATATTTTTTGTTTCTTGTCACATACAATCTGACTAGTGTTCATCTAAATAATCTTTAAGTATTAGTGAGTAGTGGTAAAAAGAAACATTGTGAGGAAAACTGCATATTTACGAAACAGTAACAAAAAGATATTTGAAGTCTGCCAATCCGCAGTGGGGTCGCGTGGTGGACTGTGCTGATTATACCCGCTGTACAGAGGCGGTCTTTGTCCAGCAGTGGGACATATATAGGTTGCTACTTTACATTATTTTTAAATAAGGTAGGCCACGCATTCGATTCACAGAACATACTCAGCACGTGCATCACAATTATTTATCAGTGATCGTCTTCCATGTTATTAGAGTCATAATGTAAGGTTAGGAATGACGAGTCTGAGTGAGTCAGCACCCAGGTTTAGACAGCACGATCAGCTTTAGGATTTTTGCGTGAAATATATTAAACATTGGACCTCATCTGGTAACAACAACAAAATCACGACGTAACGATCTATTCTTTTAGATCCTTACGTTCCGTTTAGATTATTTGCCATCAAGGAAAGGTAATACAAAATATATTTTTATGACTAAAATTTATAAATAAGTAAAAATGGTAATATCATTTATCTTGTAGTTAATCCTAAAGTCATGTTAATGGAAGAATCTAAATAAGACTAGTAAATTATTTTAAAAACTTATCTTTAAAGTTAATATTATTTACTATGGATATCGAAAAGTAAATAATAAGAGAAAAATTAGCATCGAACAGGCGTATCATGTTATATCTGATGATTTGTTTATGAAAAAATGACCTTTAAGTATCTCAGTCAGACGAAAATATAAAAATCCTTTAATGTTTTACCATTTTAAGTTGAATATTCTATACCTACATTCAACAAATCAATAATTTATTTGCCATCTGGTGTTACAATAAAGAAGTGTAAAGAAATTTAAATGCCCTTTCCAGGCACTGCAAACTATTTAATGAAATTAAAACATTTTTCATCTAAGCAATTTTAAGAAACGATGCTTTTAAAAAATAAAAAATAAACTTTATTAATTTTTATCCTATAATGTGGAAATAATATCATACTGTAAATATTTAAATTCTTATTTGTTTACTAATTTGTGTTTCCCTAAGTGGTTATTGCTAAAAAGAATTATTAAATAATTTTCATAGAGATACACAAATTGGTTATAAAAAAGTTATATGGTTTAATAAATCAGTGATTACCGTTTAAACCTAAACTAACTGCACTATCTTTCCCGCGTAAACAATTGACACATTTACAATAAAAACGTCGACGCGTGCGCTAACTGCGCGCTTTCGCAATTGACTGGCAGTGGCTTCATCCAGAAGACAAGTTTGTAATCACTACTCTTTAGTGCCTCCCCCCCATATTTCAGTTGTACTCAATAGTTCTTAATTCTTATTCTCTTTAAGATTTTTACGTGTAACAAGAATATAACTTTTTTAGATAAAATGATACATACGGCGACACTTTTGCCGCGGTATAGTAGGTCATAAGAATATATATTATGTATAAATATATCGAACTTACCACTATATTCATGTTTTTCGTTAGCTGAAAAGTCTTGCTTGAGTGGTCTAATACCGGTTTGCCCCGAATGTAACAATAGAATAGGAAATCGAAAGAAAATAGACACATTAATCCAGGACAAAGGCCAGGCCTCATTGTAAGCTTAATTTCTATTTTAATAATATTATTTAATATAACAGGACTGAACTCGCGCCATCTTGTAACGTCATAGCTGTCAATTTAAACCCGTTAAGTAAGATAAGCAAATCAGATATTTGTTAAATAATATTTATTTTGTATTTAAAGCATGAAAGAAAAAGGAATGTAGAACTTCAATTCTGCTCATTTCTGCGTTACTGTCTGAGGGATCATCATTACTGTTACTTACCACTATAAAAATAGAACATGTATATAAATAGATATCTAACATTTAAGTAAGTATCTACTGACTGTTATTTAAAGGAAGAATAGGAAAAGAAAAATAACAACAATGAAAATACATTTTTTTATTATTTTCAAAGCTAATTACGACTTCACTATATTTGATGATAAGTACTTAGTTTGTTACATTACAATCTTTTTTTTGGAAAATAAGTTTTCTTTGTAAGGCGTCAACTATCATTTGAAATAATTTTCAAATGATATTTGACAAACACGGTCACTCGAGGTCATTGACGGTCCTATTCCTATTTGAAACGTATTTTATTCAAAAATGTTTCAGCTATTTTTCACATACCTTCTATCCGAATATTGATACTTTGGTATTACGTGAAAATATTTTTTATTTTTTATAAATTTTAAAAAATGTATTGTGTCACTTGAGCATGGAACTAATTTGATTATTTTACCTAGTAAACAATTTTACTTCAGAAACTTTTACTGTAAACGAGTTTATATTATTTACACTTTATTGTAACTTTTTCAATTTTCTCTATCATCATAAAAAATATTTTTTATTAAGCTATTGAATAGCTTTTATCGCGGGCTTTGAGCGCAAGAAATTCCGTAAGGAAAATAAAACCTAACAACCCCCACTCCGCCTACCATGTAGCTCGGCCAAGTTATAGTTTCAATGATAAAAATTCCTGAATAACCTAAATGTATTGTAAGATAATAATATTTTTAAACTATATTAACTTATCATTTATTCAATAAATGAAAAAAAAATTGTTTTCTTATCAGTCACCACGCTAAAAAAGTGTAACTTGAATTAATATCAAAGAAAAACCTTGAATTATTATAAAAAAAATACTGCTTAAATAAAAAATAAAAAAATTATTATAATTGCTTAGGTTGATAAAAATGCTATGCTATGCTTTACCGCAGCAGTCCCCGAGTGCCACAGGTTTTTTATTTTAAAAGTGAAACTAGCTAATGCTAAACACTTACTCTCTAATAAATTTTCGCAACACTTTTATTTATAAGTTTTATTTTTTATTCGTGTTTTCGCCTTACCTTAAACAAGTTCTTTTTTTTGTGACGTGTAGTTTACTGTTAGCCTGGCGGCTTTGACAGCTTCGGCGGAAGAGGTCCGCGGGCAGACTTCCCACGGACTCGGGAGAGCACTAAATAAGTTCAATACAAGGCGGGACTCACTTCCATTACTTTCGTAAAACAAAAAGTTTGAATACTTTTACTTATCATGATCCTTCTTACCATTTGAATCTATCACTGTAAAAACGCTACCACCGGGAGATCTGGTTGTAACGTTTCGTATATTTTTGGAAATATTGTCGTCTCCATGTATGTAATTCGGATAAATCATGAAATATGAATATATTAATTTGTTTCAAAATTAAATAAATTAATGTTTCTAATATCGATTACCATGTTCTCATTAATTCCTTTAATTTTCATTACACTGGTAACAAATACATCTAGTGTATTACTATGGTCAATGTTTGAGTGTGATTTGTCTGCAATTGTAAATGTCATACTTAGTAGAATAGTAGTATTTTTGAGACAAAATATCGAAATGGCTGAAAACAGAGAAGAAATTCTAGCAAATTTTCAGGTAAAATAATGGCCTGATAATGTATGTATCCGGCTAGTGACCATATAACAATGAATTTTCTTCTAGTGAAGGTTATGTGTAGATCAACAACAGTGACTGTTAAAACTCCTTTTATCTCTTTGTATTCAACGTATAGAAATATTTTACTCTTGGTGTTAATTTATTTATTCAATTATGTTTCTTAAGTATTGATATACCCCCATGTAATAGCCATATATTGTTGTTCCTACAATAAAACTATTTAAGTTACACGTCCTTTGTGTTCATAATAAATCTGGTTTTTGTTCATATTACCATTTCAGATAGGAAAAAGATTTTAATAGTATGCAACTGCGTCTTTATTAAACAATTGATTTGTAAACTTGTTGTTTTTAATTAAAATAATATTGTTTTTTAAAAGTGATTCAATCAAGATTTTTATAATAAACAAGAGTAAACATTTTTTTGTTTTAGGGAATCACTAATATAGAAGATGTTGCTGAAGCAATATTCCACTTAGAGGAGTCTAACTGGGACCTATTAGTGAGTACCGTTTCTTTTCATCTATTATATTTGTTTTAAATTTAGTTTAAAACTAACTTTAATGCCAACAGTCATTAGTTATTGATCTTATTTCCTACTTAAACAATTTTTTTTAACTTATCCGTCTAAAATTATCTCTTTCTTAAAATTTACTTAAAGATTCAGTGTTTTTTAACTTTTTCTTTTGTCTTGTTTGTGTAAGTAATAACTGCACCATGTTTTTATTTTTCTAAATAAAGATAAGTGATATTCAAAGTTGCATTTTCAATTTTCATGTTGTACTTTTATACTGTTTTCATGTATGACATTAGCTTATAATGATTGCTCAGGAAGTTAAATTACTTTTTTGTTTTGTATGTAGACTGCTATAAACCGGGTAATGCCTCAAGATGGAAATAGTACTCGCAACTCTTTGTCACACAATAGTGAAACTCATGACATAGAGATGATAGATGAAGATATATCTGTGATAACACCAAAAACTCACCCACCAGGTATTTACCAACAAGCTCTAAACCAAACCTACTCTTTATAATTATAAATATATATAGATATCATATGGATATATATGGATATCATTATTTATTTAAGAAATTTCTTAAATAAATAATGATATCCAAACAGTGTCCAATATATACATGTAATGAGACATACTAGTTATTCAATTTGATCTTACTAAATTGGAATTTTTTTATGAAGTCACCTAAGCAATTTTTAATATCAAAAAATGAAATTAGATACACCTTTTATGTGAATAGTTGTATTTTTATTAATCTATTACACAATTATTATTTCTCATACAAAAAGAATGCTCTGCCAACTTGTGATCGACATTACCTTTTCAATATATTGTCTCCAATATTATCTATGTTATACAGAGACTTATTTGTTTTAACCTCTTCAGATCGGGAAGCAAATAATCAAGCATCAACCTCATCACCTAAAAATACTTCCCTCGACTTGGTTGAGCTTCAAGTTCACTATAATAATAAGATGCACGAAATCAAAATGTCCGGCTCAGCAACAGTCAGTGAGTAAATGGGTTTTTGTGTACTCTCCTTGTGCATGCAGAGATTTTTAACTAGATATGCATTTTACTGATGCCTTAGTAACTCTGTCTTCAGGCTTACTGTCTAAGTAATAACCGGTTTGTAGTCCAGCGGCAAACAGCAAGTCACATTTGTACTCAGTCTATAGTGTAAGGCTTATCACCATGTATTTATAGTGTATGTGGGACATTAGAAGCGTAATAAAATGGGTATAGGACTAATCTATATCAGTCTATTCCTTTTTCATTTCTATTCAAGAATTGTATAATTGATGATGCAATTCCAATTTAAATATAAAAGGATTGTTTCACCTGACTTAAAATAATTATTTTTAATTTTGTTATGTTTAATGTCATATAAAATAAAATATGAAAAAGATAATTAACTAGCAGCTCTAATAAATCATATAAATTTTTTGGAAAAAAGATCAAATATTTTTTTTTTCTTTTTTAAAAAAAGCAATACCCTTACTTTAAGGATAACAGTGTCCTGTGTTGTAAGGTCGTTTTATATACGTAAACTTCCACACATAACTACACACACATCTAAAACAATTATCTGTCGGCCACGCATATAGTCGTGTCGTGTTGGAATCGAACCCACGAGCCCCGGTGCCGAAACAGATGCCGTGGCAACTGCGCCACGGAGTAATTATGACGATGAATGTAACAAGACAACCTAATGTGACAAGATTACCTTCGCAGGCGATTTGAAGAAGCGCCTGGAGATGGTGTGCGGGGTGCCTGTGTGCCGTCAGCAGATATCCGGCCTTGGGGGCTCCCGGGCCACTTCCAACGCGGTCCTGTCCAGCCTCGGGCTCCAGAGGAATGCGGTGCTGCGGCTCAAGAGCGCCGACCACCTGATGGCCGATGACGAGTGAGTATTTTCTTAATCATTTATTTATCAACTAACGACCCGCCCCGGCTTCGCACGGGTGCAAGGTATTATACATATAAACCTTTCTGTTGAATCACTCTATCTAGTAAAAGAAACCGCTTCAAGATCCGCTGCGTACTTTTAAAGATCTAAGCATACATAGGGACGGACAGACAGACTTAGTTTTATACTATGTAGTGAAGTAAGAAATAGACGTTTCATCTATCGATAGCGATTTTTTTTTAGATCTACCACTGTTTCGTAATGAGGTTCCTCTAACCGAGTCTTGTAAAGTGTGGTAACGGCCTATTAACGGTGGTAAGACCACGCAGCAGTCTGCTGTGGCACGAATGGGCAGGTCCGTCCGGGGAAGTACCACGACCTGAACCGGAAGTGGGCCCACTTTTTAGGGTTCCTTAACCAAAAGGTAAAACGGGACCCTATTATTACGACTCCGCTGTCTGTCTGTCACCAGGCGGTATCTCGGTAGTTAGACAGTTGAAATTTTCACAGATGATGTAATTCTGGTGCTGCTTAAAGATATTTAAGTACGGCTTCCATACAACAGACATAATTGTTTTGCCGTTTCTTATAGATAATGATACGGAACCATTCGTGCGCGAATCCGACCCCCACTTGGCCGTTACTTAAAGGTTACCAACGCATCTGCAAGCCTCAGGGTGTTGTCCATAGGCGGCGGTATTCACCTAACATCATGTAAACCACCTTCTCGCTTGGCAAATGTCCATGGGCGGTGGTTATCACTTAACACCTTCTCATATAAAATAATGCCCCACTGCTGGGCAAAGACCTCCTCTGGACATTGAGTTTTAAGGCATAGGCCATCACGATGACCTACTGCCGATTGTCAGACCTCACATTTCTTCAGATTTTTTTTTTCATTTCGAAAACATACAGGTTTCCTCAAGATCTTTTCCTTCAGCACTGCGCACGTGATGGCTCAACGTTAGCAATTAACAATTTCATTGTTGCCGGCACCACGATTTCAATTAGGATTGCTTCAGTGTATTAAATCGAGCGCCCGGGCATTGCGATATCACTGTTATTTATTTTATTTTCTTAGCGTCATAGTTGTAATCCACAAAATTTATCTGTATCCGTGGTAGAAGACAGGGTTATGTAGGATTCCCACGCCTTACCTACGGGCGTATGTAGGCGTATGTTTCATGTACGGGGGTATAATTATATTATATACGCCTATATACCCCGGTGTTTATAGGCGTACTGGAAGAGAATGCTTATTAACATTATTAGGTTTGCCTTTGTTTAGCCTCACTTTGTGATGTAAACAATACATTTTTAATCAAAAATAAATAAAGTATATAATATATCACTTCAACGGCATGGTCTTATGTATGACGATTTCTTTAACAGGGTAGCGGACAGATTAACAATGACATACACTCTGTTAGTGAAACATGATGATAAAGAATACCTGCTAAAGTTCCCTGGCACTAAGACTGTTCGAGAGGTGAAAAACGACATATACTCCCTCACAGACATCCCGATGCGGTATCAGGTGAGTGTTTATACATTTATTTATTTTTTTATGCGAAAAGTTGCCAAGCGAGCAGACGGTTCACCTGATGTTAAGTGAGTGCCGTCCATGGACATCTGCTACACCCGGGGGTTGCAGATGCGTTGACAACCTTTTGAAAATTGGGCTCCGGCCACCTCACCTCACCAGACGAATCTCGAAAGTATTATACTTCCACTTTACGCCGGTCTTTTGTGAGACATTTAAACGCCCCTTTCTAATCAATCGTGACGACCCTGCCTGCGCCAGAGGGTGTGGGTTCGATCCCCACTGCTGGAAAAATATTGTGTGATGAACACAGTTTTTATATATGAATAATATGTATTTATTTACAAAAGAAAAGTATGTTAAAGTATTTAGTTATCTATTAGACAACTTTATGTCAAAATTTGTCCTGAATATTCATTATTAGCATTTACTAGCTGTGCCCGCGACTACGTCCGCGTGGAATTTAAAATAAAAAAATCTAAAATAAAAGTAGCCTAAGTTACTCCTTATTACATCAGCTATGTGTCAGTGAAAGTCAAGTCCCAATCCGTCCAGCCGTTTCAGAGATTAGCCGGAGCAAACAGACAGACAGACAGACAGACAAAAATTGTAAAAAATGTTATTTTAGTATATGCACCGCGTACATCCATATGCATTTAGTAAAAAGCGGTTATTTTAATATTACAAACAGAAACTCCAATTTTATTTATCTGTATAGATTATATAAAGTAAGAAAGCGAAGTAGAACGGATAAGTTTTCAAAACAGGACGCGACTTGTATTTTACTTCGCGCTTACGCTGTGTTAACAGGAGCCTTATACTCATTTACATTTTTTAGTATTGACGATTTTTTAATAAACGACATCATGTTATTTGGAGTTCTGTAGTATCGTTACGTCTTGTCTTTGATTTCATCCCTTAAGAACAACAAAACTTTATGCGAATTTGTCCTGGGATTATTACAAGAAACTTTTATGTAATAACTATCAAGTAAAAAACGAATAGGGCAAGGCAAGCTTTTTTACATTATCAATAATCAAATAGTTTACTATATGCAGGTGAGTGTTTAAATGTGTCGCATCCCTACTCTAAACCAACAAAAGGTGTAGGGGAAACTGAAACGCAGCGCTATATAGTAAGCTTTGTACCGGCTTTTGTAGCATAGCGAGTTTCCACCTATCGCGAAGGTTATGCTCATTCAGATTGTTATTTTTATAAAACTTTTCTCTTTAAATGGTAGTTTAGAAGATACGATGTCACAGACTCGTTTCTCTTTTTACTTTGGGGTTTACACAACAGAAAACGAAGAAATATATTAAAACTACCATTTAGAATCTAAACGAATGCCTCTTATGATGCGCGTCAGCTTTCAAACGTTCAAAAACAACCTTGGCTTTAATTTATGAAGATTTAGAAGGCGTTTGAATAATCATTCTCTACTCATTTCCTGCTTGATAAAAGGTTCTTACTAACTCAGAGATGCCATTGAATTGAAATTTGGCACACCTACTGTTACTTCGTAGCATCAAATGTGGGATGCTCAATTCAAGAGAGATCTCTCGAATAGTACCAATGAGGTGTTAGATATGTAGATTATTATAGAGTCCAAACGGTAACCTTTCATGCAAGGAAGCATGAAACATGCAGCAGGCATTGTTTCTGTCGCGGCTCCGGCACTCTTCTTTTCCATTTTAGAATATTTTTTTTGTATCGTTGGTTAGTGTGGGAGGTGTTAATAAAAATTGTAATTTTATTTTATTTTTTTTACTTTTTCTTACCAATAAACGATTATTATTATAATATTTGTATGTATATTTCGAGTCAACGTTAGCTCAGTGGCTAGCTGGTACTACGATTTTAGGCCTCGGGTAAAATGCCAGTTTATCACTTTCTCGATATTCGATTTCATTAGGTCTTTCTGTAATGTAACTTATTTTAATGACCGAGTCTTTATATGTATATTTATAATATATTTTAACATTCTGCCATTGTTTCCGAAGTACTTTTAATGGAGGTTTATGAAAGCTACTTTTCGTAAAATTCCTGAGGCGGGAATAAATTAACTCTTTAATGGCCTTTTCACCTTATCGGATTTGAAATATTGCCCCGTCAAAACTAACTCCATCAAGGTCCGATTGGCGTAGTGATTAGTGAACGAGTCACTTAAGCCAGAGCGTGTGCGTTCAATCCCGACTACTGGAAAAATATTGTGTGATGAACATTGTCGTTTTCTAGTGTGTGGGAGTTTATATATCTATGGTATGTATGTATTCACAAAAGAAAAGTATTTTTAAGTTTGATTATAAGCTTTTTTTTTAGTTTAGGATTAGATAACGCAGTGTAAAATGTATCCACGTTCTGGAAAAAAAGATCTGGTAACAACGATGAATGACGAAGAAATACCAAATCTTAACATCGCGTGACTACCACAAACATAGTGTGACATACTTGTCCAACGTGGTCGATGAGCTTGATTTAAACGTAGTTTATCAGTGGCAATTCTATTTTTCGTGAGGTCTGGACCGGTTGGCCTTCGGTGGTGGGCTTGGACGACACGGTACTAGCGATGGTCGGCCTGAATCAACCACAACACGAACTCACGGTGAAACGTTCAACGGCAAACAAACAGAAGGAATACAAAAGGGTATGTGGTTATATATCTTTTTATAATCCAGGAGCTTACCTCCACTTCATTTACAAATATAACTGTTACAGTTGTTGAAATACAAGAGGTTATGTGCTTATATATTTCTTGTGATCTAAGGCGCTTCCCTTCACTTTATTTACAAACTTAACTCCGCTTACGATTGCACAGGTGCGACTGACCTCTTGTTGTCGCACAAGTCCTCCACTTATGCCCGGTTCCTATATTCAACGAACGGCCGTTAGTTAGATAGCTTCGTAACTATATGAAAGTTGTATACGACTTGTAGATAAAAGGCGTGCACGCCCGGTTCCTATATAAACAAAACGAGGCGTTTTCGTCACGAGCCGTTGCATTACCCACGGAAAGAGAATTACTAGCGTTCCTTTAATCTACAAGTCGTTATGAAAGTTACGAATCTATGTATCTAACGGCCGTTCGTTGAATATAGGAACTGGGAATTAAACTTCTACAAATGCATTGGCCATCTTGTTGTCACACAAGTGTGTGACAACAAGATCAAGAAGTGAAGGACTTCCTCCACTTCACTTCTTGATCTTCTCTTACTGTCATTTATCCTTTTCATTTCTTTCTTCATTCTTTTCACTGCCAATACGGCAGTTCAGATTGCCATGCGGGCATATCGTCCGCTTAGCTCAGTTGGCGACTGCGTCTAGGCGCTATCATCAAGTCGCATGTTCGAATCCCACAGCGCTGAAACATAATTAACATATAACATAATTAACATTTATAATGTTACATTTTTCACAGATTTACAGCGTCGGAATATTTCGTTACATATTGATGACAGTACAGTCTAATTCTGACATCACATAATTTACCGCTCATCTCCATAATTAATGCGCGCATGAGTACATGCGCGGCCCTAGCCACTGAGGAGGGCCTCAAACCCGTGGGGTCTGGCTAGCCCACCGGTTCTGCGTCAGATGAAGCTTTAATAGTCTAGGGACAGAAAGCGTAACATCAGTTATACAAATACCGCTGATCTCATGGTGATCTCGTCACCGTGGATGAAGGAAGGTCATTTATTTCATACGCCACGGGCGTCCAGTGGGAGTACGAGCTGACGGTTCTAGAAATCTCACCGACGCGAACTGCAACATTTTGAAATGTTGCGAAAAGTATGTTGCCCTTCGCAGATAATAGTGGAGAGTTCAGACAGCGAGAACAGCTCCGTGGAAGAGGTGGAGGATGGAGGCGACGGGTTCACTGCAGAGGACGACATGTTCGTAGACCTGGTCCAGTCCGAGAGGCTGCAGCCGCTGAGTGAGTGGAACAATCCGTACTAATATTATAAAGGCAAAAGTATGTATGTATGGATGGATGTTTGTTACTCTTTCTCACAAATACTACTGAATGGATTTTAATGAAACTTCACAATTATATAGCTCATACATCAGAATAACACATAGGCTATTATGTAATATACAGGGAGATTTTTTGAGAAGTGCCCAAATTTACACAGGAGGTTCAGACTCGGTAGTATAATCGTTTATTGAAATAAAAAACATAGTTTTTTTTTTCCAAAAAAAAAAAATGCCATTCTATTCCCTAAAAAACAGAACGTGTTGACAATGCGCTAGTCATTCATAAATACCTAAATTTTACTGTGCGCGAACTTGTGTGCATGTTAGTTATGAATGATCGCGCGTAAAATAAATGAGTTGCGTATAAATCACGCACTTTTTGAGATAAGTTCAAATTAATGTAATTAATTAATTAACGAGTGATTTTAAATATTTATGATTTTTTATATTACATTATTCATGTCTAGAATTTAATAAAAAAAACTGGATACACTTAGAAAAGCCACCCTGTATAAAGACATTGTGTGAATTGAACAAAATATAGATAATGATAAGTGTCAACTAAGCAGTGAATAATAAAAAGCTCATTCTTAATTTTAATTCGGTGAAGCCGCGGATAAAAGATAGTAAGTTAATAAAGACGAAACTATTTTCTCGATGGCTTTTAATTATCTTTTTTTTATATAAAGAATAGTGACAGACATAAATTAAATACTAGAAATAAGGACAAACTAACTACGCCATTGTTTCGTCTACAAAAAGTAAACAGGTCGTTCATGGGGCAAAGTGTGCGCATGTATAATAAAATCCCACAGTCGATATTAAGTCTGCCACTTGATGAATTTAAACGAAAAATTAAAAGTAAACTTACAAACTATTGCCGAATATCTTGACGACGCCAATGTTTGGGGATACTGTTCATACTCACGTAGGCTAAAACAGGACTATTGTACCTGTAGTATTATATTGTAAACTGATTTTAAAAAAAAGAGCAACTGTTGAGTTTCTTGCCGGTTTCTTCTCAACAGAAACTGCTTTCCGAACCGGTGGTAACTTACGAACGTGTTAATTTCTTTGTAAAATTTTAACGTTTCATAAGAACGCGCAAGCGTCTATGTGAATAAAGATATTTTATTATTATTATTATTATATCTGTTACCTAAAGCCCACAACACAAGCTTTGATTAGCTTGGGAATAAATAACGTTGTGAAAAAATCATCATCATTACAGCCCGTTTGAATCCACTGCTGAACATAGGCCTCCCCCGTAGACTGCCACGAAGTACGATCCTGAGCCACCAGCATACATCGACTTCCCGCACATTTGCACAAGTCGTCACCCCATCTAATGGGGGGTCGTCCCACACTGCGATGGCCAGTGCGATGGCTGCAACTCGAGAACCTTTCTTCCCCAACGGTTATCGGTTCTACGAGCTACATGGCCGACCCATCGCCACTTCAGCTAGCTAATCTTCTGAGCTATGTGCAAAATGTCCCGAATTATCAACTATCCTCTTCCAGTGTAAGAGGGCGTAGAGGACGGTAGTGTCTGGGTATTTTATTCTGAATTAAAACTAAACTTTATGGTTAGAGCATATTAAATTACGGAAGCAATGGTATAATATGCTCTAACCATAAAGGGAATATCTCGACGACGCAAATGTGCGGAGTTAATACTGTTGTAACTCACGTAGGCTAAAATAAGAATGTTATACCTATGTCATATATTAATCGGATTTTTAAAAAAAAAGCGTCTTCTATCTTGCCTGTTTCTTCTCGACAGAAACTGCCTTCCGAACCGGTGGTAACTTACGAACTTATATAAAAATTATTACGTAAAATTTAACGTATCATAAGAACGCGCAAGCGTCTATTTGAATAAAGATATTTTGAATTTGAATTTACATATCATAAAGTATGTTTGGATGTACGATTGGCATAGTTACGTATACCAATCGTACAACCAAAGTACGCCGTGCCAAACAAAGCTTTGTCTAGCTCGGGGCTAGAAAACCTTGTGCCAAAACGTGTCTCGACTAATCGAATATCCCCTTCCAGTGTCGGAGAGCGTCGAGGACGAGGCGCTGGGCTGCATAGAGTTCACGCAGCGCTTCCGAGCTCGCTACGGACCCAACACGCCCAACTTCTTCGAGGGCACGCTCCAGGACGCCATCAAGGAGTCCTGTCTCAAGCCGGCCAAAGAGGTTGCCTATCGATCGTGTTCATTTTCAAAGTAGTTAAGAAGGAAGTTCCCAATTCCGACCAAAGAGGTCGCTATTGATCGTGTTCGTTTTCAAACGACTTAAAAAAGAGGTTCCCAATTCGGACCAAAGAGGTCGCTCTTGATCGTTTTCAAACGACTTAAAAAAGAGGTTCCCAATTCAGGCAACGAGGTCGCTTTGATTTTGAAATAGGACTTTTAAAAAGGAGATTTCAAATTCAGGCCAAAGAGGTCGCTACCGATTATGTTCATTTTCAACCGCTGCGTATGATGGCTTAGTAGTACAAACTCTGGAAATTCAAAGTAATAGTATAGTAGTAGAAATGTAGACAATCGATCGAAAATGAATGTTCGTTTCGTGTCCTCGCCGCAATAAAATAATAATCAGCCTCGGCACGCCATAATTATATTAATATACAATTAACGAATTGAAACAGCTTATATATGTCCCATTGCTTGGCAAAGGCCTCCACGCGGCCCCATGGCGGACTTCGGATATCTTCGAAATATTTTTTTTGTCATTATTTCGATTCGTAGATTAAAAAAAAGTATGACAATCGATAGATGGAATGTAAGTTTCTTATGTCGATGAATAAATGATTTTGAATAGCTTAGCGCCATCGACTCGTCATCGCGGCACAATTGCAACGCAATTAAATTGTGCTCCCTTCACAGAGGAAGCTGCTGGGCGTGTACCTGCATCACGAGCAGTCGGTGCTGTCGAACGTGTTCTGCGCCCAGCTCCTCGGCTGCGAGACCGTCCTGCAGACCCTGGCCGCCAACTTCGTGGTCTACGGCTGGGACATGACGCACCCCTCGAACAACAATCTGTTAGTTATTTGCCCATCGAATGCGTCATCGTTGCAGACCAACCGGCGCACGAGCACAGACTACTTTGGGATTTTAGTCCGTCAAATTGCAAACCAACAGTCGCCGGTCACGAATGGGCAGGTCCGTCCGGGTAAGAACCGCGATCTCACATTGGACCGGCGTGTACACTTGTACTGTAAGTGTTACACTTCCGCATTGCGTCTGGTAAGTGAGGTAACCGGGACCCAACTGGGTATTGCAAATGTCAATGGGTGACGGACGTCACTTAACATCAGGTGGTGACGACCACTGGTGAATGAGCTGTCATTTGCTACCTTCTCACATAAAAAAATTTAAAATCAATGTATAAAAGTTGATTTTAGTATGATTAGCTGTAGTTTAAGAGTACCTGGATCATATTACATACAATCTTTGCTTAACTTTTGCCCATAGTACAAGCGTTGCTTAGTTTTGGACTAGGAAACGTTGTGTAAAAATGTGTCCAAAAAATATTTATTTATTTATCTATTATATCGCTGCCCCTCGCGCAGGTTGCTGACCTCCATCGCCACCGCTCTTGGACCCGTTGCCAGCATGACGATACGCAGCATCCCCGTGGACCGTCTCCCGGCGCTGGTCATCATCATGCGAGTCCGCTCCAACACCGAGATATATTCCGTCATCAACGGTTGGTTAGCAGACGGCGCAAATGTCTTAAAATCGTCTCTTGGTAGATTAACTTAATAAGTAACTTTTATAATAAATCTAGCTGAACCGGCAAACATTGTTTTGCCGTATATATTATTTGTAGGGTAGAAAAAATTTTTGGGGCGATTCTCAGACCTACCCAATCTAATATATAAAATTCTCGTGTTGGGTTGGTTCTGGTGTTTGTAATTGAACTCCTCCGAAACGGCTCGACCGATTTTCGTGCGTGAAATTTTGTGTGCGTATGGTGGTCCACCCCAAAAATTTTTTTCTACCCTACAGATAATTCAGCTAGTATACAGCTAGTATACATATAAAATTTTATAATAATCGATCAAGCTGTTTCGTAGGAATATGGCAAGTAACATTGTGACACAAAAATTTCATGTGATTTTTTAGACGAAGTACATACTTTGACATACTGTTAATTGAACAATCCAGAAAAATTTCAATTCAAAAATTGTTTGTTTATCCCGTTAAGAGTGGTCGCCTTATTGATAACCGGTTTAGTAATTATGCGTTCAGCGAACAGTTTTAGTGCTTGTGAATAGGTTATTGTATTGAGAAGGCGGTCATAATGTTTGAAAAAATTAAAAATAATCTTTGAGTAAAAAAAAGATGAGGTCAGAAGTATGTACCAGATTCAGATTTAAAATCAAATTTTGCATATGCTCTGTTGTTTAATATACCCATAAAATCATCCTGTATATAGATAGGTTACATCCATAAACAACCAAGTATAAACAATTTCAAACATTTTGTAAAATGGCAAGGCTCTGTTATAATGACGAAGAATACAGAATACAGAATTGAGGATGAATGTGTGGAAATTATTCTTGCTCCGTACTTGCAAATCCCCTAGCTACTGCTGATTTTATACTTTAAATAGAGACTCGCCACGGTTTCGCACGCGTGCATTATACAAATAAACCTTCCTCTTGAATCACTCTAGCTAGTAAAATAAACCGCATCAAGATCTGTTCCGAAGTTTTAAAGATCTAAGCATATTGCGTATATATGGACAGACAGACAGCGAGACTACTTTGTTTTATACTATGTAGTGTTAAAATATATAAAATAACAAGACAGAGTTTTTGCCGGTTTTTCTCTGGTCAGGCCTAGTTTAGTGAACCGGTGGTAGTTTTTTTTTTGTCATCAATTAAGCCTATGTTGAATAAAGAAATTTCGTGGCTTCCTGGCCCTACCACAGTTACCGCTGCTCAAGTCAATCCAGACCCTATGTTTATGCTAATAGCGGAAGCTTCTCGAAATTCTCAACCAAAATAAAAGAAACGTGAACCCTTAGGCAACGTTGGCGTTTCCGAGCTGGTCGGCGGCTTGGTGGAGGCGATCGAGCGGTTCGCCGCCCAGAGGGAGGAGGACGCGCGGCTGGAGAGGGAGAGGGATGCGAGGCAGCGCGTCAAGCTAGAGCAGGACGAAGCATATCAGCGGAGCCTCGAGGCCGACAGGTAATGCGGCTGCTGACTGTACGTGAGACGCTAGGGAGGGAGATGAATTGGGTGAATACATGGGTGCTGGGACGGAAATAACTGTACATGAGATGTAGTGTTGTCAATGAGTCTTTGTGTTCTTCTGAGAAACGGTGCAACGTGGGTTTTTAGTTTGACTCCCACATAGTCCTGCCCCTCCCCCGATCCGGCGGCAGGGGATCCATAAAGAGTTTTCCCACGTTAAAAAAAGGGACGGAGATGACTATACATTGTTGCCAGGGACGGAAGTGACTGAATATGAGACGGTAGGGGGGGAGATGACTCTACATGGGTGGCAGGGGTCGGAAATGACTGTACATGGGTGTCGGGAACGAAAATGACTGAACATAAGATGGTAGAGATGGAGATTACTGTGCATAGGACGTCGGGGAGGAAATTCCCGTACATGGGGTGCCGGGGAAGGTGATGACTGTACATAAGTTGCCACGGACAGAGAGCGTGTATGTCGCCGACTGTACATTGCGGGTATATCTTGCAGACTGAATAGAGCGTAGGATAGGTAATGTTTATAGCTGCGAATGTACTAGCGATTGTGAGTCATCTATATGTTGATTCGATTAATCGGAGGATTCTCACTGAACACGAGTGACGGCTGTGGGTATTTAATAAATATGTACGTTAAGACTGCGAGTTGGAGAAAGGCGTTAACCGTAGCGTAACGTTAACCTTTGATATGTACTTTATGTCACAGAGCCAAAGAGGAAATAAAGAAACAACAAGAATTAGAAAGAAATCAGGAGCTTGAGCGGGTAGAGTCAGAAAGGTTAATGGAGGAAGCGAGAAAAGAGGTATGTTTCAATTGAATAACCTTTTCTACTTAAATTTATGTTTATCTATATATTTCTAATAGACATGTATAATGTCTATTAGAAATATATAGTTAAACATAGTTAAGTTAATGGTATCTCAGTTTAACCTTTATTAATTATTTTTATAGATGTCTATATCTATATAATGCAGATGTAACCTTTCAATTAGGTTACAAGATTTGGCTAAACAATTTGGAATGGTTTAATGTTTTTATACACAATGAAAAATATTTTCATAATAAGAAAAAAAAAAGAATAAACATTCCTCAAAATTTCACGAGATTTTGCTATTATAGCTCGTTATTGTCTATTCTTAATAAACGATGCGTAAAATTTAAGTATTTATGAATGACTACAGCATTGTCGACACGTTCTGCTTTTTAGGAAATAGAATGTAATTTTTTTTGGACAAAAAAACTTTGTCTGAACCTCCTGTGTAAGTTTGGCCACTTCTCAAACAGTCTCCCTGTATATTTATTTCTTTTGGTGTACAATAAAGTATAAAGTAAAGTAAAGTAACAGCCTATACATGTCCCACTGCTGGGCAAAGGCCTCCTCTATACAGAGGGTATCAGGGCATAGTCCACCACGTGGCCCCACTGCGGATTGGCGGACTACACACATCTTCGAAATATATATTTTTTTGTTATTATTTCGAAAATATGCAGGTTTCCCCACGATGTTTTCCTTCACCGCGGAGCACGTGATAAGTCAGCGCTTAAAGTTAAAAACTTCATTGGCGCCGGCACCGGGGATCGAGCTCGGGTTGCTCGAGTGTATTGAATTAAAGGCGAGCGCGCGGACACTGAGCTATCACGGCTCCTACAATAAACGAATAGCATAAATGAATGGATGTGAAACAATCGCAGGCGCTGCGTGCGGGCGCGGCGGCGCGCGTGCCCGCCGAGCTATCACGGCTCCTACAATAAACGAATAGCATAAATAAATGGATGTGAAATAATCGCAGGCGCTGCGTGCGGGCGCGGCGGCGCGCGTGCCCGCCGAGCCGGGCTTGGCGGAGGGCGGGCGCGAGGTGGCGCGCATCCGCGTGCGCCTGCCGCCGCCGCACCACGGCGCGCTCGAGCGCCGCTTCTACGCCACCGACACGCTCGCGGTGAGCGCGCCGCACCCGCCGCTATGCCGCTACGCCCAAAAGAAAAGCCAAATGGCAAACTTCCAACGTTTCTCGCTACCACTATTGTCCGAATTTAGAAAACAATGTATCATGTCGGACATTACCTTGTGCCCGGTGGTCGGATTTAAAAATGTATCGTTTTTGATACGATTTTCGATATGACGAATTACAGAAATATCGATACGTCGATACTTTTTCGACATCCTTACTGGCCACTGCGAGGCCGCAACTGTACACTTAGCGCTCGCCTCGTTCGGTGCGACGATGTTCACGTATCGCCCGCGAAAGTGGCGCAAACCCTACTCGCCCCCAGCGAGGCTGCACGCAGCACGCACTGCTGGCCTGCTGTGGGACCGGACGCAGTACTACATCGGCGTGGTACCGCCCACTCGCTTACTTAGTGGTAGCACTGTACTCGCTTGCGATTAGGTCGGTTGGTAGCGCTGATGCGATCTCAACGATCGCTAGCGGTTGACCTCCACGCTGACTGCTTCCTATAAAGCTACCAGCATGAACAGAACACTTATTTCGCGCAGTGGTCTAGCTGTTACTCGCTGGAGGTTATATCGTTAGCTGTACCAATACATAATGAAGCCGCAAATCTTATTCACTTTAATATATTGATACATGTCGTGTTCTGTGATAAGATTCCTTCAAGCCAGCCGCGTTCAGACGCGCGCTGCGTCAAATTTTTTGTTCTTATAAATCTTTTTTTTTTTTTTTTAAATAGGACAGTATTGAAACATAGTTAAGTTAGTACGTTTCGAGTTCCATGTTCGTAGCTGTTGCATAAAATGAAAAATTCCCACGATGTAATTCATTGTTTCCCCTTGCAGGCACTATTTGATTTCCTCGCGTCAAAAGGATACCCACAAGAAAACTACAAGGTCATCTCTAGCTGGCCTAGGAGAGACGTGAGTACATATTATAAGTAAATAATTAGTAATCAATTCATGCATTGACGGTGTAGAGACTGATGTCCGAAGGATTAAGTACTTAATACTCGTGAGTCCGAAAGTTCATATTCACGTGACATTCGCAAATAGAAATCCATTTCTTTTTATTGTCTTTTGTCTTTTGAATGTACTACTAGCATAAACCACTTTCTCAAATGTGTGACTGATATTCAAAGACAATTACTCCATCCGTAACGTTTTGAAATTTAAAGCTTAATGGAAAGATCTGTCTACCGCACTTAATATAAAGACGATCTCGATAGACGATATAAATATAATTTATTTCACCCGTGTAGTTCTCGTTCCCGTGAGAATACGGAAATAAAATATAGCTTATGTTATTCGCTGATAATGTAACTTTCCATAAGTAATATAATTTTTGAAATCGGTCCAGTAGTTTTTGAGTAAAAGCGTAATAAACAAAAGAAACAAAAACTCAAATCTTTACTCTTTATAATATTACTTTAGATTATGTATATTAATTAGAATTAGTTATTTATCCAAAGTAGTGCAATAATACCACATTTCCTCGCAGCTGACGACGGAACCCCGCAGCAGCACGCTGAAGGCGCTTAAGCTGTACCCACAAGAGACGATAATGCTCGAGGAGCGGTGAAAGGCGCGCTCCATTACGGGCCAGCTCAGCAGTTCCCACCATCGACCAGCATCCACCACACACCACCATCCGACCGACATCCAACCCCAAATGTCACGTGCACCGCAAATAAAGCCGCGACGTTCTGTCCCTTGCCCGTTACGCGTGTTTAAATCTCCGCCGACGAGCTCGTCTCCCGTCACGCTCGGAATCGTCACGTGCCTCTCAAATAAAGCCTCGACGTTTTGTCTCTTGCCCGTTCGACGCGTGCTTAACTCGCCGCCGACGAGCCCATCACCGATCACGCTCTGAATCAACACGTACACCGCAAATAAAACAACGACGTTCGGTGTTTCACTCGCTGCCGACGAGCTCGTCACCTGCCACGCCAAGAGCTGACAGACTCTGTGAAATTCCCATACCGGCTCATACCCCGCTGAGATGAGGACAATTTTTTACATCTACTTTCACACCGAAAAACAACTTTGCTCGTGAGTGTTTACATCAACTTGCAGCAAGACGAAAAGCGATTTTGGACTGCGATATCAAGAATACTCTTGACGAACTTCAGAGGCGATTTAAGTATTGCACGCAACAAACAGTTTTGCACATTGCTTCAATATTGGCTCTGTTGACTCTGAATATGTATTAATTATTCGTAGTGTTATATACAGGGAGGCTTTTCTAAGTGTATCCATTTTTTTTTTATTAAATTCTAGACATAAATAATGTTATATAAAAAATTATAAATATTTAAAATCACTCGTAATTACATTCATTTTAACTTATCTCAAAAAGTGCGTGATTTATGGGCAACTCATTTATTTTACGCGCTTTATCATTCATAACTAACGCGCACACAATTTGTTTCAAAAGTATAAGACGCATTTATGAATGACTACCGCATTGTTAATAAGTTCTGTTTTTTAGTGAAGAGAATTGCAATTTTTTTGGAAAAAAGTTTGTTTTTATTTCGATAAACGATTATACTACCGAGTCGGAACTTCCTGTGTGAATTTGGGCACCTTTAGAAAAGCCACCCTGTATAAAAAGCGTATGGACATTTTTTTTTTAACCTTATAACATTCTGATAAAATTTCTCAAGTTCAACTTAAAACTAAACTGTTAGGTCGTTTATGTCAAAATTTAAAACTTAATTATAAGAACAAGTTTTAGAAAATCGACACGATGAAAATTCTTCGTCATTGTTTTTAATGAAAGTAGTTTGATATCTCATTTAGTATGTATATATGGTGTGTACACATAATTCTTGTAATGTAAAAAAACAAAGCCATGTGAGATTGTTTTACCACAAGCGTTTAATTATAAGCAACATTTAATACACCACCAACAAATGTCAGTATAGATGGCGTTGTGTTCAATTAAATATATAATTATTTAATTAAGTTATACCAGTCTATGAGTTCTATAGAACATGTTCACTTTGAAAAATAGTACAAGTTGCTACAATAGAACCAATCGTTAGCTTAGCAACTGGTGGTGATTTCCTATATATACAATGTAACGTTGTCGGTCTGGATATATGTGCCGGAGTAATTGGGCGGTGTCATTAAATAACCTCTTAAACATTTCGTATGCCCCGAACTAGATTGTCATTTTGTAATTCGAATTTTTACCCGTGGCGTTTAATGTTAATTTGTATAAATTGCTATAGCTTAATATAAACAACGCGTCGGTAAAAAAAATCGATATGGAAACGGTCCGTGTACGGATTGTTTTTTAAGCTAATCGAGTGGCTGCATCTGCCTAAACCTTGTGCCTAAATAGAAATAAACAACGTCTCGTTGGATCGTTCATCGCGTTACTTTGAATACATACCAGGTTCATATTTAACTTTTATAATAAGCATATAGTGCTAATCGCTGCACTTAAGATGAAACATTAAAATAGCAGAGTTAATATTTTAGATTTGTTATCCATCACACCGCTTGCGACCAGAAAACTTTAAAAACTTGTTCAGGGGACGCCAATTTCGCTTTCTGCATATTTCCATTGTTCATTTTTGCTACCTTAATTATTAGAGGAAGACAATTCTATTGGTTTTCCGCGATATGGCGAGACTTTTTCATTTTTTTCGCGTTATACACTGAAAGCGATATTTTTTATATAAACTTTCATTTTTCTAGACAATTTTGTACTTGTAGATCGATAATTGGGTCTGACACATAGACTTTTTTTTTAGAATAACGCAATTTTGAAAAAGGAATTATGCCATAGTTTTAAATGCACATCGTTCATTTTTATTCCAATAGTATAACTACTCGGTGTGAATGTTAGGCGGATGCAGTATTAGGACACAATTTATAGTCTGTATTATAATATTTTACGGATTAAACTGACTACAATTTTTCACCATATCTGAAGTTATAAAATGGCGTACTGTGAGAAATATATTTACCCGATAATTAAACGGAAAAAGAAAATGCCCAGAATTGTTTTATTCAAACACCTAACCTTTTATGCCACAATTTTTTTTTATTTAAATGAACTCTAACTGCATAACGATATGCAGTGAGAGTTAATATTTCATTCAAAGTAAGAATCGTTAGTTATCAAACGATTTTTAACTAACGATTCTAACTTTGAAACATACTTCAAAATAACAACTATTCCTATATTCTCATATTCACACGTGTCTGATTCTTCATCGTATTTCGTCAAATGTTTTGCATTCAGTAAGAGTTTCAAAGACGAAACTTTTATTGTTGTTAGAACTGGATGACTGGGGGAGGGATCCGGAAGCGATAATATTTATTTCTTAAAATGCGTGCTAAGAACTTATTAACCTTTTGTTTTTTTTTTTTAATATTTAACTGGTTCTTGACTGTAGGCGTCAGTGGTAGGAAGCACATATAGTTCACAAGAAAGGTGCAAAACTGATATAACCAACTATCGCCTAATAGGTACCCATTTTAAAGACGTTAGTTAAATGATAAGAACAAATATTACCAGACAATCTTAACGCTAATAACTCCCGCTATTCCATTCCACCAGCACAACTTTTAGCCTTTTGCGAAAAAGATCAAAAGAAAAAAAACCTCGGAATTTACAATGTTTTATCGTTTATAGATAAAGGAGGACTGGCAGATGGGGTTTACACAGATATTGAAATGGCATTTAATCGCATTGAACATGTAATTTTTCTTCGCAATCTGTATGAGCCGAGTAACAGGTATTCATGGCAATCTTTATCCAAAACAATCTTTAACAAAAACCTAGTGGTTATATTCTCTTTGGCTTTAACTATGGATACGGTCGTATATTGCGAAAAGAACTCAAACTTTTAAAATAACTAGTAATGAATCGGAGTTAATTAAAAACATAAGAAGGCTTATTATAAATAACCTTGTAATCTTCTTATTAACATTAAAATAAAAAGGTTCGCTTTTATAGCTTTGGCCACAATCTATTTCTGTACAATGCATATATTTACGACCTTAACAAATGGTATACTAGATTCCTAATATTTGTAGATGATAGCAACTTAGCAACTAAGAAAACTGTCTAATGTTTCAGACGAGATTTAGATAGATTGATGAAAATATTACAAATATAACACATTGTAAATATAGAAAAGAGTACCCAAGTACCATTTTCAAGAAAATTAAATACAAATAATATTAATTCATATATAACTTGCACAACATAGCTGTAACTAAATCACAATCGGTTCGGAACTTAAAGTTGTATTAGATTCAAGAAAAAAAAATCAATATCTGATCATATTTCATTGGGTGTTCCTTAGGGATCGATCTTGGGTCCGCTCTAGTTGGGAACAAATCTTACAAAATGTAAGGAGTCATAATAATAGGTCAAATTTTCAGCCCAATATACTACTTTACTTTCGTTGCTTTAATTAAGATGTGGAAAAATCTTTGTGAATACGCAAAGACATATTTTAATCTTGAATAGATGTAATAAGAAGTTTTAATTTCTACAGTTTATTTAATAACCGACTAAAAGTGCATACAAACAGATAACATACATTACGACCATAACCATATAATACATAAATTGTACACCTATTTACTACATGCAACAGAGCACTCTAATAACGACCATTGCTGAATCACTGCACACACTATTACTTCAACTATTAAATCAATTGTTAAAAGCTATCATTTGACTCCTACGATGAACCAAACGTTTAACGCGAAGTCGTTTGACTAATGTGCGTTTTTTAAACGATATTAAATACACGCTATGAAAGTTGTCATGTCGGCGATGCTTTCGTGTTTTAACTTTATACACGCAGACCTCGCATAGCAGGACAAACATTGCGGCTATAATGCCGCCGGTGAAGAAGAGCAGTGCCAACGAAAACTCCCGAATGGTGACGGCCTTGATGCTGCTGTACCGCATTTTGGTGCATGGCGGCTTAGGACTGTCCCAGATAGACTTTATCCTGCTCATAAGCCCTGTCTCCAGCATTCTGCTGATGCTGCGTGGTAGAAAGAAATGTCAACAATGGCGCATTTTGTGTTGTGTGGAATTGTGGATAACGGAGGACAATAGGTGGAACAAGAGACCAAAAACAGTAGTATCTTTATTATTTTTATGGAATAGGACCCGTACTGTAAAACGAAATGATGTCTGTTTCTAAATTTAAAAACTGATATGCATATTATCAAGATGGGATGGATATCGAGCGACGGTCAAAGCATTTATCGTGGCGTTGAAAAGTGGTTTTAGGACAGTCTTACCGGTCAATGTAACTTGCACTCACCCCACGGCGATGAGCTCCCTGTATTGGGAGCGTTTCTTGGCAACCGCGCCAACGTACTGCGGCGGGAAGAGGGCTACCTCCCCGACCTCGCATATCTCGCCGTCGCTGAATGTAGAGCGCATCACGCGGTAGGCCGCCGACGTGTCCACATGGAACGCGAACCCGCCGCCCCTCACTAGCGCCATCCCGCGGGCGGCGTCGAAGAAGTTGTGGCCGCCGCCTGTCGCTATCTTCTGGTTGTACAGCTGGAGAGGTAGCCGGTCCGTCGTGCGCTGAGTAACGAGAGGTTACAGCACATAAGGGGCCGTCTGCTGATCACTTGAGGCTCCAAAGAGGGAGGGGGTTTGGCAAAACTGTCACGAAATATCACAAGCGGTGATGGGGGTGTAGTAAGATATCACGTGTATTTTTTTTCTCATCAAACTCGCAACCAAAAATTGGCGTGTAGTGTGACCTTGACTCGCCATTACATTTTTATCATGGTCCTTAATTTCAGAATAAAATAAGATTATACTTTATACCTGTATTTAAAGATAATATTCTAAAAATTTTTGAATTCTGTGTAGTCACTAAAAATACACGTGATTTTGGATAGGGGGGGGGGGGGTCAATTAAACCTCACCACGTATCTCCAAGGAGACCGAGGGGGGTTAAAAAAATGCTAAAAAAACATCACGTTAATGGACGGCCCTTGAAGTGTCAGGTTAGTTAGGCCTTCGTTAGTCACGAAGTTGGAAAATGCGAAGGACCGTGTTACAGGATAGTGTACCTTACTACGCTATAAACAAGTGCCACTGCACATCACACGTATACGTTGCTGACACGTAAGGCTAAATCGATTTAGTTTGGGAAAAGGTCCATAATTATGTTGTCGTATAAATTGCGCACAAGAAAATTTGTTAAAAACTTTCTTTGTTAAAAAATTAGCTTTCTGTCTTTAAATGTTCGCCATTGATATATTTTTACATAAAATTATTTATATTTAAAAGTTGATGAAAAAAGAGAAACATGGAACATGTTCATAAGGGTTCCGCGAGGGGTAATACCTTGAAGTAGTCCCTGTTGAACAGCATATCTTCAACGCCAGCTTTCAAATTGCTCTCTAGCAGATCTTTGAGGTTCCGTATGCTGTTGTATTGCTCGTTCAAAAGACTCGACAGGACGTTTGCGTTGTAAAATTGGTAGATTAGCATGGAGAACATTAATGTCACGAATATTATTATTCTTGCCGAAATCGTTTTCCAATTGATTGGTGTCCCTTGTGAATAAAAAAATATTTGTGAACCAATTTGTAATATCAAAAATTTCGCCTGTTTCGTTACTTTATCATTTATTAACAGTTATAGCTCAGTGCTCAGTGTTGGTGCCGAATGTTGAACTCAGCAGTAATCTGAATTCAACATTCGGCACCAATGAAATTGTTAATTGCAATCTTAAGGGCTGACTCATCACGTGCACACCAGTGAAGGAAAACATCGCGAGTTAACCTGCATATTTTCGAAATAATAATATTTAATAATAATATTTAAAAAAATATTTTAAAAAGTATGTAAAGTCCGCGGTGGAGGTGCGTGGTGGACTATCCCTAAATACTCTCTATGCAGAAGAGACTTTTGTCCGGCAATGGGAAATAAATCGGCTGTTATTTAACTTTACTTTTTTATTGTTAAATTCGAATTTGGGAGACTTCTAAAATTTCAGTTTATCGAGTATCACTGAACATTACTTAATTTAAGCAGTATTAGAAAGACAGAGAGTTGGAGCCGATTAATAAAAAGTATTAGACTAGGTAATATGAATGTTACAGTAAAACTAATAAAATAATATGTGTCACCGACGTCCTCAATTACCTTCATTTGAAACATGGCTTTTCAAATTTCATTTTAGTTGCCAAAAGAACGGTTAAACTCTCTGAAATGTCTTGCCCAGAATGATCTTCTAATGATCAGAACAATCAATCTGAAGCGTTTAACCATCCTTTTGGCAACTAAAATGAAATTTGAAAACCATTTGACAGCTGATTAGTTGACATCTACGATGTTTCAGAAACCGGCCGTGAATTTAATTGTAATCAGTTTTCAAATACCATTTGAGTTGCCAAAAGGATGGTTAAACTCTATTGATCATTCTGATAATTAAGAAGATCATTCTGATGAATTCAGAGAGTATAACCATCCTTTGACAAACTATTTGACAACTGATTAGTTAATTTCTACGATGATCAGTGTTTCAGTAACCGGGCGTTAGTCTCTAAGATTGAACTGGGTAATTACAGGTATTAGTTAGTTCTAACTGAGGTCTTGATTGCAACTCTAAATTGGATATTTTAATATCACATTACAAAGATAATGAATTAGTCTTAGTTAACAAGCAACATTCACCTTGTTGACAAACAGCGCCGCAAATCATTAACCAAATTGAACACTTCGATGATTCGTATTCATCCTGTTCAACTGAGTTAATTCCAAGCGTTGCGTTCAGAATAAATCCCACGACCAGAAGGACTGCGAGCATGCAACACCAAACAACGCCATCTAGCGGCCGCGTGTATACTGAATAATAACTTGCTTGATACTTCGGTTGACGAAAAAGAAAGGTGTGTCTGTGTTGAGAAATTTACTTGTTTAGTCTCAAGTTCTAGCTGTTTAATTCAAATAAATAAGCTTCTCTCGTATGGTATTGCCACATAGCACCTGTTGTTGCACAAAAGGGGGGGTGCTTGAAAGTACTCCGGCCTCATGGAAGACCGGCGTGAAGTTGAAGTATTCTATATTCTCGTTTCACCTGGTGAATAATTTTTTTTAATTCTCGTTTGCAAACCTTCAGCTTTTGTAGATGGGCGATAATCACTTGACATCAGGTGACCAGCAAGGTCACTAGCCACCTATTTTCACGTAGAAAAAATCTATAAAAGATAATTTTGTTTCAGTCAAGTCGCTACTTACATAATATATAAACGTGAGAATCAAGTATTTATACTTTTATATTCCGATTTTACCATTATCTATAATACTTTCAGGTTACACCTGACAATGCCTGCAACTGTTTTGGTATTGCGGATGTCCTCGGGTGGTACTGACCACGAACCACTAGTCATCAGTTGAATCAGTTGCCATTACCATATATTAAAATAAGATTACATAACCATCGACGTTTTTTATTTTAATTGATCTCAACTGTCGATACCCCGAATTTCTAAGAGATATAAGAAGGACTTAATATCTAAAATCATCCCTAGGTGGTAACCACTATGGACATCTACAGCTCCCGCTGCAGATGCGGTGCCAACTTTACAATAACGGTTACCTCAGACGGGGCCGTTTCGCAAAAGGAACGAAATCTAACACTTCATGACACACATGGGTCTTCTATAAAGCCATAATACTTCTCGAAGCCTGCCCCCACCATAGTATTAATATCGTTAAGGTGTCGTACTTTGTTTGCCACGTAGGAACGATGTAGTCGACGACCTGAGCCCGATTTGTTTTAAATAAAACCGGCGAGCAGCCGAACTCCGCCTCTTGCCGCTGGAGCGAGCCGACGAGTCCGTCGAAGCTGCCATTACGCGAATAACCCCAAGAATTCGTTCTTATTACGTTTAGGCTAAAACATAAGTTACAAAAAAATATATAAGTTACAAAAAAAATATAAGTTACAATCCAGTAAAAATTATATTTAAGAAAGTTTGGACATATTTCTTTCTATTTTTTTTAAACATGCCCTTACTTTAGGATAACATTATCCTGTGTTGTACGAACGTTTTACAAACATAAATTTCACGTGGACAAACACCCAGATGCGAAACAACTATCTGTGGGTCACACAAACAGTTGTCCCGTGTGGGAATCGAACCCACGAACCCGACGCCGAAGCCAATACCTTGGTAACTGCGCCACAGAGTCATCGAACGTTCCTTTTTCTCGACTTATCGGTTGAACTCAAGTTTAAAATCGATCTTGGAAATATCAAATTAATTAAGAAAAAGTTGCATACACTTTTAAACCTTAAGAAGGAGACAACTAAAGCTATCGCAAAATACAGCTCAGATACTAGGCCAGGAACCGTGTGCCGATTTACTTATTACGACATTACCTTACGCAATACCTTGCCTAAGTTAATCATACTAACAGTCACCAACTAACACTCCAGAAGGTACTAACTCTTATTTAGTATGGTATTCAATATTTGCATGATGAGACATTCAAATTACTTGAAACTAATACCTAAAATTGTACATCTCTTGCAGATAGCGTATCACTGTAAAAAACTTCAGCTTGTGCAACGTGTCGGGCTCGTCATGTCTTGATTCCCTGAGAAAGTGCTGGTAGGTTTCGTTCACCAGTTCTTCGGTTATAACCGATACGCAATCCAACAGCGCCCCGCGTAAGTTATCCCTATTACGTTGTCTGACATGCAATGTTAAGTTCCAAAACCCTATAGCTTTGACAACAAACGACCCGTTGCTTCCGAAGCCTGTGTTATACACCTCATATAGGTTGTATGTGTTTACTGTGTTCTTGTGAATTATTGTCATGTCCGAATCCACCGCAATGGGGTAACGCGATAGAAATTGGGTCGTCCCAAAATAATCGATTGTGTTTATAAACCAAGAAACTCTATTCGCACAAACGATGTTGGGCTGTCTTCTAAACACCTCGCTCCATCCGACGCATGACGCATCCAACACGATCCCAATTTTGGTTTTAAATCGATACGCATTGATATCGAAATCTTCTAATTTAACAGCCGATAATTTTATAGAAGCGTTATGAAATGCTTTCTGCAGTAAAATCATCTGCCAATCATTATTGCAATGCACAACTATCCCGTCCTTGATATGGTTGCTTCTGAAAATTTGTGTCATTAAAGGAACATGCGGGGTCACAGATAGAATTAGATTAAAAGCAAAGACGTCCATGATGATATCTTGAACATTTGGGAAAGCTAACGAACGTAATAAAAAAAATTTAAAAAAATATTCGACTAGCAGGCCATAATAGATAGCCCAATTATCGAAACCCATTACTGTCAACGGATGTGATACGAAATACAAAATGCATAATAGTCGCTATCAACAGCTATTACGCCGCTATAAATGGCTCTAAACTACATGATCTAAGATATAATTCTCGACAATGTTTTTTTATTTATTTAAAAGGAATATAAAAGAAAAATTATGCATATTACCCTATTGTTGTGTGACTTTAGATGTATAAAAGCAATATGAGCAATGGTGAATTCATTTCTTATTTTTCTTGTGGATTTTAGGTACTATATTGCGCGCAGAATTACTACTAGATTACTACTGTACTACAGTGCTAGCCCTTGATCATGATAAAGCGAGATCCTTCAGCGCCCTTTAGTCAATGCTTTTAATTAGCATAAATTGACTTTGGCTTTCTGTTAAATAAATAAAACACCGTCCAACGAGGGTTTGTAGATGCGTTGACCTACTATTAAAAAAGGGCCCCGGCTTCCTCAGTCACTAGACGAAACACGAAAGTATGATATTTTCACTTCACGCTGGACTTCTGTGTGATCATTATCGTCGGCAGATTTCAGATGTCAGATCCGTTGGTCGCCCTAGGCATATGAAATATTCCTGCCCCCCTACTCGCTGTAAAGCACAGAAATATAAACGAAGTAAAATGAAATTAAAATAAAAAACAACGAAAGTATGAGAATGAAGCCGAAGAATGGTAGGTACCTACTCATCCCGGCCCGGTTGATTTATTATAACTAGTGAACGCCGATTCGTCGAAATTCGACAAAATTAATTTAAATTATAAGTTTTAACATTAATAATCTATTCTCAAATACAATACACAATAAACAAAAGAGTGTGTAATGTTTTCTATATTGATTTAATTTATTCATAATTACAAAAAAATTAAAAAGTTGGGGAACAAAGGTTCTCGAGTGGTAGCCTTGAACTGGATATCGCAGTATGGGACGACTCCCCACTATGTGGAGTGACCACCGGTGCAAATGTGCGGAAAGTCGATGGAAGCAGGTGGCTCAGCATCATACTTCGTGGCAGTCTGTGGGTGAGGCCTATGTTCATCAGTGGACTCAAACAGGCTGATATGATGATGATGAATTAAAAAAAAACATTACTGCACAAATTTTCTATATAAACTATAAGTGTCAGAAATTACGTACTCCTCTGTCCACGCAATTTTCGCAAAAAGGGGTACAAAGTTTTTGCTTCACATATTAATATACAGATTTTTACGAAATATCGCCTAAATTAGGCCAAGGAGCAAAAGGCGCGGCTACTAAAAAAATCCCATTAAGTTTCGCCGCCCTAAGCCTGGACCGGCTCAGCCTATAGGGCCATCCGCCCCTAGATGTGGTACTTCCCCAGATGAACCTGTCCATTCGTATAACAGCAAAAACTGCTGCATAACCCCACCTCAGGTTAAGTCTAGGGCTAGCACTAGCACTTTATTATGGTCGTAGATACTGATAAATAAAGAATCATTTTTATTCACTTGTCTAACGATTATTACTATACATATCTATTTGTGCAATTAGAAATAGCTAAAACATAAAGTAGAAGAAATAAAACTATGAGCAAACTTTTAACATAATTATATTGGTTGAGTAATCACATTATAAAACTAGGATTAAACAGAATATGACTAGTTTAATTTCAATGATGCATGAATTATTAGTCAATCCATTGAGTATTTCAAGAAACACGGGGAGCAAGACATTGAATGAAATCAGTCTTGATCATTTAAATTAATGCTTGACAATAATTAATGAATATATTGTTAATGTTATAAGGATTAATATGAAAAAACATCCTGGAAAGGAAATTCTGCTTTATCTGGTACCAAAAGATCTGCCAGAAAGCAAACGGTACCAGCAAAACCCTCATATAAACTCTCAGGATTGTCTGGTAATCTTGCATCACTAATAAATTCATCTGTGTTCATAAAACTTGCAAACAACTCTGCCTTCTTTAAGTACATTTTGTCACCAGTTAACCTGTATAAAAGTAGGAACACATAACCATTGCCCGCTACACCGTGACAAATCCCAGGACCTTTCCGCAATAGACCTTTATGCCAGACAACTTCACCGGCCCTTATGCAAGCATTGAGGTATTTCTTATCTTTAAACACAATGTAAGCTCTGGCCATCATATATATGGTTCCAGGTGCTCCATGACACCAATGTACTAACTTGTGATCATTTAGACCAACTTCCTCCATACAACATGGCCAATTGCCCTCACTTGTCTGAAGTGATACCATGAAATCCACAGTTCTTTTTATATCCTGTGCGGCCGCTTTATTAAACTGCATATAGCCAGGTACTGTCAAAAGAATTTGTAATATAAAACTCAAGCCATGAGCTGCGCCCAAATACTGTGTGTTATAATAATGATACATCAATGGACAAGGACTCTTGTGCTTCATAGCATACTCTCGCCCAGAAGCTACCATCACATCACATATTTTATATAATTCTTCTGAACTGAAAACGGGAGTGTCCAGCTCCCGACTTATCCAGAGGGCACCAGCAAGATAACCAGCTCGCCCCACGAAAAACTCGTCACCACCACATTTAAGGAATTTAGGATTTAGATATTGAGGATAAAGGTCTTGGTATTCTTTTAAAAAATGAACATATTGGTCATCCCCCTTTTCCTTAAGTAGTACTGTTGCTAAAGCAAAAGTCCCAGCATCTCCAAGCAAAAATGATGTTTTGTCCCCAGCAGATGTGTTCAATGATGGTTTTAAATACTCTAAAGCCTTTTCGATGTAAAAGCTTTTATTTTCAGACAATATAGGATTTTTAAATAAGTAATAAAACATGAAAGAAACCCCAGTTACACCAACATACAAACCACCATCAACATTCTTCTGGGACGGTACCAATCGTTTAGTAATATTTTTAATATATTCATCAATTTTTTGAGTAACTTCACCAGGTAACAAATCCTTTTCCGATCTACCCTCCTCATATGGATTAGGAAAATATCGCACCATTTTAACTGTAGAGTTAAAACTATACAGAAGTATGGATAATTTCTGAAATGAAAAAAGTTTCTTTAAAGCTTTACTCATCAAGGAAAACCGTTGATAGTTGTTTTTTATTATTCAGATTCAATATAGAAAAAGAAAATCTGCAGTGTCAATGTCTTGTCGATGTTATTATTTATTTCACATAAGCTTTGTTTATTTCTTGCAAGGCAACAGCGACAGTCTTTCTGCCAGTAACAAATTTAATTTTTCTGTAAGGATCCTTATTAAATTCACTCCAAAGTAAATCTGTGAAGTATTTGATGCATTTAGTATCAAATGCGTGCTGAAAAAATAGAAAACAAATAGAAATAGTTAATCCAATTGCTTAATTTTTATATAGTCCTTATCCGATGGCGTAAATGAGGGTGGGTTGGGGCGACCCGCCCCGGGTGCCAAGCACTAAGTTGTGCCAATGTGTTGATAACCGACTCGTGCAGCTTATTAGCCACAAGTCATGATCCTGTAGCTTAGAAGTATAGTAGTGGATTGAAATGCGACTTTAACGCCTGTCTGCCTTAACCCGCCTCTTTAAGTTCGTCCACAGAGCCTAGCCTAGCTTAGCGACAGCCTCACGGTACGAAAATCTCAATTAGTATGTACTTTTATGTTTCTTTTTAGAAATGCTTAATTAGGTACTTTACTGTAATTTCTTTTAAATAACTTTTACAATGAATATTTGAACGATAGGTGTCGCCTATAATGTTGAATCTCAGGATTATTATTTACTTTTAGGGTTAATTTATTCTAAGGAACAAATTAGATATGACATAAATACATAAATTGATTTTGGAACACAATCCATGTATTTTCATATCAGTCAAAAGTCTAAAAGAGACAAGATGGTGTGCTCATCACGATTTTGTTAAACATTAAAGAATAATTTGGAACAAGTTGTATCGATACAGCTGCAGCAGAGAAATAGTTAATACAAGAGAAGTAGGTCCACACTCTTACCAGCTTTGTGTGAATTCAGTTTGTAATGTTATCTTTCTTTTTGGAATGTAGTTCTAGAAGATGTTAATGAATTAAAATTATAAACAAACGCGTTGTAGAAATAAATAGTCTTTCACTACGTTCAATCTAACCGGCAAGACGGTAAGGGAAAATTACTCTCCACAGCATTATACCATCATTGCGTTAAATACACTAAAGTAAAAGATCATCAGCTGAGCGACTCCGACGCAAACTATACTGACGAACGCTGATCGCCTGGTGCTCCTCAAGGTATCTAAGGGGACTACATTTGATGCTCGACTCAATTATCATATAGGACAAGGAGGCGATATTATAAGGTTATATTTGGAGGAACGAGCTTTTACCTTTTTTAGTGGTCAATATCTAAAAAGCAGTTGTTTTTAGTTTAAGATGGCAAGTGAGCTGGCCGTCCACCTCGCCCATGGACATATGCTACACCCGTTACAAATGCGTTGCCTAATTTTAATAACCTCTTTTACCTCGGTTCGCTGAATTATAACTATTCCACTTCACGTCGGTCTTCTGCGAGGTCGTGGTCTCCGGATGGACCTATCCATTAATGCAACTGCAGGATTCCGTCTGAGAAACTTTTATGGAAAAAAGAGCTAAACGCAATGATTTTTGATTAACTTGACTGTATATTAATGTAAATAATATTCCTTGATTAATAATATTCGACGTTGGCGGCATTGTCAGTGCTAAACATGCCTAGGTGTTGAAGTAACTAACGGACTGTCGGTTAACGTCCAGTTAACTTTACACTTACATGTGATAGAAAGTGGTGGCAGATGGTTTTGAACGTTTGAAGCTTTTTCTTTTCGTGCGAGTGCTTGCTGGTCCGCAGACGACTTTTATTTAAAAAGACCACTCCAAAAGTAATTAAAAGTACTGTTAGTCAAACGGTGCTAAACGTTAGTTTTCCATGAAAGGAAAACAATTTGATTCTCCAATAATTCCATTTTAGGACATACATGAACGAGTCGCCGCTGAAACAAGTAACTACGGAGTGGCCGTATTCCCAATCACTATTTTGCTTTATCGCGTTGGTAAATTAATTACATATACATTTACAAGTAAAAGGTAGCGTGTAAAAAATGTGTTAATCGGGATTATCTCCTTTATTTATTTAACTTTTAAGATTTTAATTTGCGTTGTTTTGTAGAAATTCATGTATTCTAGTATTCGTCAATTCATACAAAATAATAAGGGGGGATACTGGCCCTCCGTATATGTTAACACTCAAATGTGGCGCCGACGACTCGTTCACTTACTCTCAAATGGAATTATTGGAGTACCAGACCTATTTTAAACCCTTTAACGGTTGGCCCAATGTGTATAACACCACTTTTAACCATTTTTGCCATGGTTCTGCTTTATTTTTATTGAAAAAGTAAAAGTAGACCGTAAGCAAACGTCGCGAGCTGCCACTCTTTTCCACGTCTACGGCCTAAGGCACACAATAACATTTCGCAAGATTGCGGCATTAGTTTCGATTTCAACCACGTCCCAGCTTAGCCTTGTAGTTCGCACACGGAGAATACAATTAAAACGAGCATTGACGGAGTAAACTATTCTCCGTCTAGTTTGTAGCTTGTAGCACAGTTGCGCAGAGTAATGATTATCGCTAAAGATTTTTAAAATGTCAGATTGTCTGAAAGATAAGAATTTATAAAATCTAAACAATTACAAGCAATGGACAATAGTTGTTCTTTATATTAATTCCTAAACGCTAATGATCAACCCTAATGGTTGCTTAGCAACAGTATCACGACCGAAATGGACCGAAACTGCCTTTTGGACGAATTTATATTATTAAAAAAAATTGAAATGGGGCCAATTTAATAATGCACTTTGTGATATAGTTGATAGTATTATTTAAAGCTAATGCCTGTCACATTTAACAGAGGAAATGTAAGCACATAAACAATACATTACTCTTCGTTATTATTTCATTATGTTTTATTTAAACATTTATTTTTGAAGGTAAGAAAATTAGCTTTTCGCACGAGAGGAAGATCGGTTCAATCCCTAGACATTGGTGGCCCACGAGCTGACACGCCGCAAGGTGGGGATGGCCGTTTATTTTTACAAATAAGACCAGCTTTGGCAGACCCGAGAGCGTCGCATTCAGCAATTCAACGATCTACCACTATATTAACTAGGTAAGAAATATTGACACAATAACTCTCGGTATCCTAAATAATACAGGTTTCTAAACAATCTAGAGATATAAGAATATAGATTTTGGTGTATAATATTCATCGACAATATAATATTTGGGTTGGGTTTTGAATCGCCCGAATTCAAGTATTTTGTAAGTTTGGGGGGGTTAAGGAGGTTCGTACCAAACACTCTAACGCATTTTTTTCTGCTAGACACGCATTAAAAATTTTAAAAAACTTACGAAACGTGAAATGGAACGCAATTTTGATAAATTTCAGAGTTTTTTCGAAGATGCGACTAATAAAGAATGTTAAACGATAGACAAGAATTACTAATGAATTAGTCAACAAGCAGAAGTCTCCGGTCGCATTGAGTTTACGAGAAAAAAAGTATTTAAATCTTCTATCTATTTTCTCTAAGAATTTACGCACATTTTATTGATTTTAATAAAACTGCATACACAGTACTGCCAATATGATAAATATAGAAAGAGGGAGACTAGATACTCGTACCATTTATTTACCCTCCGGCTGGGGAGGGGCAAGTGGGGGGTGACACACCCCCCTCTTCCCACCTACCCCCGGACCCACTACGAAGGCGACTCGTTTCAAAATTTTACCCTAATATTTTTCTTTTGCAGTGAAATTTTAATGTGAATAAAGTATTCCCTATTTTTAATAACCAAATAGTTAAATATAAAAAAATCACGAAAATTTTTCATTTAAAACACGCATTAACCAGGTATATGGGTAAAATTTTAAGTCTTAAATAAAATTATGATTTTTATAGTAATGATAACGTGAGTACAAGGGAAGATGGCAGGGACGATGTGCTCAATTTGGAGGCTGTGGGTGAAGGAAAGGTTCAGCTTTCTAGAACAACACAGGAAAAAGATCGTCTACCTGATAGAATAAGCCTCGATCGGTAATATGAATGCTGTTAATATTTACAAAACAAAGATAATTGCACCAAAAATGAAACGTTCGTTTTTTTTCAGGCGGGGTCTCTCGTCCATACCCAACATAGTAGGGGAGCCGTCATTGAGACTATTGTCGTTGCAACATAATTTAATCAGCAGCTTGTCAGGGCTGTCTCCTCTCGAGCTGGGAAAACTTGTGTTCCTAGATGTGTACGACAATCAGATCGACAAAATCACCTCTCTCGAAAAACTTTTCAGCTTGAGAGTCTTGCTGATGGGTAAAAATAGGTATATTGCACTACATTTCTTTAATATCTGCGTCATATTTACACTTTAGAAATATAATAAATTAACAATGACATCTCATATTTCCGCGAATACTGTACATTAATTAATTAATTAAACTATATTTATGACTTTATAACGTATGGAATAATAAATGAAACGAGAATATCCGTAAATATAATTTGATTTAACGATATAATTAAATTTTGCGCAGAATAAAACGTATAGAAGGCCTAGCAAACCTCGTGAAATTGGAGGTGCTGGATTTACACGGCAACAGGATTGCAAAGGTGAACGGTTTGTCAAATCTCGGCGAACTCAAAGTGCTGAACCTGGCTGGCAATCAGATAAAATGTATAGGCCAGAACGACCTGCAGGGACTAGTGTCGTTGAGGGAGTTGAATCTAAAACGAAACAAACTGAGGAAGCTGCTCGGCTTTCAGAAGACAACGAAACTTCAGAAATTGTATCTCAGCAACAACGACTTGCAAAGGTAAATATACAAATACTAATATTATTACTAATAATAAAATTTTGGCCGTCAGCCGTTATGTTAACGTTACAATTTACAACTAATAAAAACCAATAGTTAAAGAAATATGGGGTAAAATAATAAAAATAATGGAATCGTTAATAAAATCAACATATTTTTCTCTTTATTTTTATTATGTATTAATAAATAGAAAAAAGAAACTATTTATATACAGTATACGCGCGCATACAGAAGAAGACTTATTTTCTTTCTAATAAGATTTTCAACTTTTTTCTGTTTTCTGTATTTGTAATTCATTACAATCTAAGTAACATTTTAAAAACATAAGGTACCCTTACTGTAGGATAACATTATCCTGTGTTATAATCACGTTTTACAAACACCCACATTTTAGACAATTATCTCTGGGTCACAAAAATTGGTGACCCGTGCGGTAATGATCGGACGACCACCGGGGCCGAAGCCAATACCTTGACAACTACGCCAAATAGTCATTATATTATAACTTCGTTTCAGTGTTGAAGATGTGTCCTCGCTCGCAGAAGCTGTTTCCCTAATTGAGGTCACTTTAGATGGCAACCCCGTGGCCTTGGGCGGTGACTGTACACCGTTTCTTGTATCGTACTTACCGAACTTAGTGACTTTATCCAGCATGCACGTAACAGAACAGGTGAGGTTTACATTATATGAAACAATATTATCAAAATGAAGTACTGCAAGCTGAAACTATCGGTATACGGATGATATGCATATCGAAGGTTTTGACTGATGAGATTAATAAAAGCTGAAAATAACAAAGATGATAAAAAACCGCCTTAAGGAACACCCGCAAGTTTATCACACCAACTAGACGATAATCAAACCTCCATAATTTCGTTAACCCGAACAATCTGCTAGCGTTCCAAGAAGATAAATTGTGAACGATTCCAGTCTATTAAATAATATGTTAGAACAAATTCCTGTAGCTGTCAAACATCTTCATTATATTACAATTACCGAGTGAGTACAGCAGCCCATGGACATCAATAACACCTTCGAGGTTGCTGATACGCGGTCAAACTTTAAAAGAGGGGACGATTCCAGTTAAAACTGGTTACCACACTCACCAGACGAAACCCAAAAGCATAATACTTCCACTATGACAAGAGCTTTGTACGCTTTGTTTAGCTTTATACAATAATCGCAATCACATCACTATTTAAACATGTGTATTTGGTTAAATCTTGTAAACTATACCTCCATGATAATTGTGAATGTTATGCCAAACTTAGCACTGTCCCTAAATGTCTAATTTTGCATTAATCATAAGGGCAATATTCTTCCCTTTGTTTCCCGTTGAAGGTACACATGCCGATTGTGTACAAACTAATGTATTTTTCACTAAACACAATTAGTTGTTTGCTCGGCATGCGTTATACTATTATCGCAAAATTCTTATTTTTTACAATAAAACAATTGAACCTTTCAAGCGAAAGTCCCATAGTAACGGCCATGTTTTGCACATAAAACAAATTGTGCATGCTGACCTATAAATAGCGTACGTCAATTGCCGACATTTAATAAACGAGCTAACAGGAACTCGCAGACTTTTTTTAAAATGATATTGTTGCCATAATACCGCTTCAACTCCAGGTTCGCGCAGCAGCAATGGCTTGGCGTAACAACAAGGAGGCGGCTCACGCGGCTTATTGTGCCCTGGGTGGGTCGGCCCAGCAAGCCGCTCGTCGTGATCAGATCATTAACAACGCGCGTACCAATTGGGAGCTACTCAGGTGTCGTATCAATTAAATAGCTCTCTCCTTTCCCTGCACTCATATATTGCGTAGAGACCATTGTTTTCTTCGAGTTTCATCGTATCAATAATTAAAAAGAAAATGTTAAAATCTTTATACTTACTCGTACCCGTAACCATAAAATCGCTATCTGTAAAACTATGTAGAAACTTGTAATCTTTTGTCAGACGTAGGAGTTTTGAGTTTGGTTTTTGGTAAGGGATTTATTGAAGTCCAAACTGAGTAAGGAGATTTTGAAATTTAATCTGTTTTCATGATACGACTAACGAAAAGCCCATATCCACAGATCGGAGAATAAATGTTTCGCTGCTATCACGAGTGCGGTCAAGGGGGTTTTGGAGAAGGAGCTCGTGCTAGACGCTTCAACGCTGACCATTACACATAGTGGGGGAACGCAAACAATGGACACGGCAGTTTTCCCCGAAACGCCCGGTATTTCCCATCAGGCTGACACCGAAGACTCTGACTGTAAGAACAACCAAAGCGACGCCAGCTCAAAGTTAGTTTCAGACAGCGGACCGCGAAAGTCCCCCGTGCGAAAGTTGCAAAGATGCTCAACCGCGCGTAAAGTCTCTGAGAAGAGGGTGAACTTTTCGGATAGGAGTGCTTCCCAAGATACGGATGCCTCACACTCCACGTCGACTAGCAGCGATTTAAGACTGCCCCCTATATTGTTGCCGATCATTTCCTCTTTAGAGAATGTCAAGCTTTCCGAGGGCACGGATTCCGTCTTGAAAAGATGGGAGAGCATATCCAGTGTAGATCCGATCGTAGATTCGTCATTCAGTTCGTTCCCTTCGTCTAGCAGCGATAGTGATGACGAAGCAAATAAGAAACACTTGAAGAGGATGCCAACAGTTTTAAGGAATAGAGAGAACTTCAGCAATTTGCGTTCCAGGTCCGTCTGCGACCCTGAGAGTCGCCGGGTTAAAGCCAATAAAAATCCTGACAACAGCGAGAACACAAGTAATATATCCTCTAGCACTAATACAAGATCTATCGCAACTTCTTCCACTTCTGGAAGTGACCACAGCAGTAGAACCCTGAGAAGAGAAGGTTCTCTGAACAGTAGAGCTAGTAATAGGAACGTGAGGAGTGCCACACTATCGCGTCGGAGTGAAAGGGCCTCATCGGCCCACCGCGCGTCGACCGCGAGAGCCAAGTCAGGGAAAAGTTTAGCAAGTCTGAAGTCTTCGGAGCCCGTTCCGAAATCGATTCCGGCGTCAAAAGACAGAGAACAAGGTAATTTTATACTGACATATAAAAGATAACTTTACAATGTTGTTATGAATAACGTGGACAAGATTTATGAGGGAAAAACCAGTAAAATGATGACGATAGGGAGCCCTCGTTGGGTTTTTTTTTCATTCAGAGGTTTATCCGTTTCGCAGCGTATCATATTTTGAGTCTCTGCTCTTTTATAAAGGTTAACTTGACAAATTATCGCAATCAGTTGAGATTGTGAATTCTGGTCAGTCCACTTTTGAGGCAATGGTATGCCTTTAGAGACTCCTATGTAACTCCACTTACACACAACAATATTACAGGAGTCGACTATCTAGTGGAGGTTTGCGATGGCACAGTCAGCGCGTGGGGAACGGGCGCGGTGCGTCGTCTAGCGAAGGACTGGGACTGGGAGCGTGCGCGGTCTGTAACAAGGGCTGCGTTCCACTATGTACACTTCAATGCGGTCGCCCAGTCGCTAGCCGAGTTGAAAACCAGGTATTGTTCTAGGGTTCCGTACCTAAAGGGTAAAACGAGACCCCATTACTAAGACTCCGCTGTCTCTCTGTCTGTCCGTCTGTCACCAGGCTGTATCTCTTGAACCGTCATAGTTTGGCAGATGATGTATTTCTGTTGCCGCTATAACAACAAATACTAAAAAAACAGAATTAAATAAAAAAAATTTAAGGTGGCTCCCATACAACAAACGCGAGGCGGTTTGGCCACCTATAGGTACTTGCCAATTAGTTTATCAAAGATAATAGTATAGAACCATAAGTGGGCGAGTCCGACTCTTGCACTTGGCCGATTTTATTTATTTTTAACAAGCATTATCCTTACTCCAGAATTACATAAAATGTGGGTCACAAAAATAGTTGTTCCGTGTGGCAACCGAACCCAATCAATCGAAAATCGACCTTGGTAACTTCACCACGGAGTCATCGAAATTTGTAAATACTGTCTGGACGTGTATTCGGAATGACGAAAGTTCGAATCCTGGCAGTGGCGAAAAACTTTGCTACATATTTTAAGATTCATCTTAAATATACAAAAATCAATATCAACAGAAAAGAAAAAAATGTTAAGTATTTGAAAAAACGTGTTTGCTGCAAAGGAGGCGAATCTAAAAATTTTATAAATAATTGATTCCAGGTTTCCCAATATAACACATATATCAGTACGCGCCACGGGCCTACAATACCTTGGCCAGTTACACGCTTTAGCGGAGTTGCGTGGAATCACTGGCCTCAGTATATTGCCCGAAGGCAATCCGATATGCGGGAAAATTTGGCGGGAGTACACCATATATCGACTCGCTCATTGGGGTCTGAAGGAAATAAACGATGAGCAGGTAATAATAAAAATAATTCGTCGTTATTACAATTACATAAAATAAAGTAGCTCCCGATGTTTGTACGCGTAGATCTTTTAAACTACGCAACGAATTTTAATACGGTTTTCAGCAATAGACAGTGATTCAAGTGGAACGTTTATATGTAGTATACATGCATATTATAATATATAAAATTCTCGTGTCACAGTTTTCGTTGCCATACTCCTCCGAAACGGCTTGACATATTATAATATATAAAAGTCGTGAAATTCTATTTTTACATACACCAGTATACAAAAAATACATACAACCCTAAATTTCACCCCTCAAACGTAGTCTTCATTGCACCCGTGCGAAGCCGGGGCGGGTTGCTAGTATCTGTATTATTTATCCATTACATTTCATACAAGATCACAGAGGAAGAAATAAAGTCGGCCAATCAAACTTACAACGGATTAAGCGATATAGTCCTGAGAGCCATTCCCGACGCGCCACTTCAGCCCCTTCTGTCGCGATTGGGCAGAAGTGGGAACGGTGCCGCCAGCGCCAAGGCCTGGTTGAGGGCTGCCGACCCCGCTTTAAGAGATGTCATAGCAAAAGAAGCCCTGCAATTCAAAAAAGGACAAGTGTCTCAGGTAAAACATCAAAATAACAGACCGTATATATATGACCTTTCGCTGTGAAAAGGCTCTTTCATCGATGGAGCGGCAAACTTCACGCATCTTCCAAACATTTTTTTTAATTCTTATTTCTAAAATACCTATGCAATTTGCCTCGCCTATGATACCTATGTTTTTGTGCACGACTGAGCACGTGATAGGTCACATGTTTGAACTCAGGTTGCTCGATTATAGTGCCAGAAACTTTAAGATAAATTCATCAAAATTCCAGCAACAGCTTGTGTTTGCGTATATGAAATAATATGCTAATAGTTCACGGTACAACTTATAGTGCAATAGCTCGCGACGAACACACATTAAATAACTGAAAGTTCGGTGACAACAAGTATTAGAAATTTAGTACTATCCCGAAGAAAGTATAAAAACACGCTTTATACTTTCACTGATCAATAGTGCAGTTTTATAAACCTTTGCTACCTGTTAATTGCCAAAGCTGTATCCAAACTTCATAGTCAATAATCATTCCCACTTTTTTGGAAAGAAATTTTCAACTTTTGTTAAATGACGAAAGTTTCCCGTCGTGGACTCTTAGTCTATTAACAGAGAGCCATGGGGATAGGGGTGGAAAAACGTAGTGACAATTTTCGTCAGCAAGTCAATGTGAGTTTTCATATACGATGATTTTTCAGTACCTTTGATTACTTTTTTAAAATATGATTGCGTGTTGAGATATAAAAATAAATCAAGAAACACGGGGTGTGTTTAATACAATTTAGCATGCCCATCGCCTGCTTCAAACGAGTATTTCTCAGTTTTGAATATGGTGTTGATGGATTCGTGAGAAACTTTTTACCTGATGGTTAGGGTTAGGTTTGAATTAAAATATTTATTTATGAATTTCTACTTTTGTAGGAAGACATGACCTGGCGAGTCCGGGGGCGTAGTCAATTATCACACGCTATTGAGGTGGCTTGTGGTGCAGCTCAACGCCTCCGCACTCTAGAACTCCAGTGGCCAACAATATTCGTAGATATGATTGAGGACGTTTTAAACGATTTTGTTGATATGGACAAACACGTTAAAGAAGAGATGCGTATGCTAATGGATTCATAGTGATTTAGTAACTTTCCAACACTCGTTAGATATCATATAGAGATATTCCTCGTTACCATTTTTGTATAGAAAGATATTTGTTAATAAGAAGTACAATAATATTATTAAAACCCTTTTTTGTAACCATTTAATTATAAATAGATAGGAATTAATTGTTATTTTATACACAATCATTTTAGATAAATCATATCAACTGTTATTTGATGTAAAAGGGTTGTAAACGAGTAACAAATCATAGTCAAAATAGTTTTGGTCTCCTTCCTCGAATAGAAATAAAAATATTTGAAAAAAAAATAAATGGATACCTAATAATAAAGTTCAATGAGACTTTATGAACTGATATACATAATCATATCGTTGCTCAATAAAGTTAGTTTATAGCGTAAAAGAAAAAAGTAGACTATAATAAAATAGCTACACCGACAACAATCTCTGCTCATATAAATAAAAATACATATAAAATAAAATATTTAAATAATGTCTGTTTTATTACCTTAAATGAATTACACAATCATAATTTTGCCTTAAACCCATGAAAAAAAGAATAGACAAACAAACAAAACAATCGCAACGAATTACGTGAGGACAGTATTGGTTTTGTGTGCGACTGTACGTATTGCGTAACTGTATTCCCGTAGATTATTCTCTAGTATACAAAGTTACTATATGGACAAGTGCGAGGGTTATACTTCGATGAAAAATTTCATTGTTTGGCATTATTGTGTTTTTATTATACTCAATCTATACATATCATCATTTTTAATAAATTGCCCAAATCATGGACAACACAGTGAGACTACTGATCTTAAAAGTTATCTAAAGTATTTATTGAGTTAAACAGCATATCATATCCAAGATTTTTGTGAACGAGAATAATTTTACTTCACTATTAAATTGATTAATGTTGTATCATAAAGTTATTAGATTTATTGAATTTGCAATAAATGTCTAGGCTGTTACAATATTAATAATTTTATTTGTATTAACATAATTATCGTATCAAATCTAATAAATCTTGACATTGAACAAATAAATATTATTGTATTTGTAATGCACCATCTAATGTTACTAAATTGTATCCCACGATATATGACTAAACGGGATAGAATTTCCTTTCCTGTATTTATTATCTTGCACGCAAGACATGTACATGTTTAAACAAATAAAATTATCATAAATTTGGGTAAAGACAATATTCTTAACTGGCAACACTAACACAATAGCGTTTACATGTTTAGAATTCTTGTTCAGAGGAATTATAAATTTTAAAGTTTTTTATAGTGCTAATCTCTGCACTTAAGATAGAACATTAAAACATGCAGAAAAAGAAAGAAAAGATTGTCGCCGCTGTGGGAATCGAACCCACGTCTTCGGCATTCGCGGCCTGACGCTCTAACCACTGAGCTAAACGCCTAACGGCTAACGCCTTCTTAGGATTTTCGTCGCTGTGGCTATCAGCCGTTTATCTCAGTAGCTAGAGCGTCAGGCCGAGGAATTATGTCAAATAGCTCTCGTTTTGTTTAAATTAAGCAGAAAATCAGGTAATTATGTGTGAAAAGTAATCCCACAACACTTTTGTTGAAAAAAATTAATTGTTTTCATTACCGTTTAAGACACAGGATGCTATAATTTTGCAATTATTAATAAGACTTACGTCTGCACTCTCACTCAATCGCGGCAGACTTCATATGACCGAATCGTCTTCATATTACGCGTCTCATATGAGCGCAATATTGTCTATTCTCTAGTCTTTTTGTTGGTCTGAACTTAGATCGTTCATAATTCTCGACTCTTATGAGACTGTGTATTAGTGCTCTGTACTTTAATGGTAATGATTATGGATATCTATAATTTGTGAGACAAGGCTGTATGGGCTAAGTTCCCTTTGCCTTCCCAAGTTCATTGTGATTGGGAAAAATTAACAACACCGCTCTATAATTTGTGATGTGACATTGACAACTGATATTTCAAATGTCAAACGAAAATACGCGTCATAAGTCCCTATTATATCTTAAATCTTTCTTTTCAACAGTATATATTATTGCTATTATTTATAATAATTGAATGCAGAGTATACAGCATAAATACATTTATTAAAACAATGTAATATTTATTGGGTTAGCGAAAAGAAATGGATGATACCGAAAGCACAACAACATCAGCAGATGAAAATACTGGCAATTTATGTGATAATCCAACAAGAGATACACTTGCAGAAGGTTTATTAGGTCTCCTTAAGCCTACTGTTGACCAACTAGACGATAGAGTTAGAGCCACAAGGTGTAGAAATTATATGTTAGTTGGCATTCATGAATATCATATTTTTAATGTTTAAATAATTGTAATTTCACTTAATTACAGAATATCTCAATTAGAGTTAAAACAACAAATCGATTCATTAAATGAAGAGTTGGCGAAAGTTCGGGAGGCCCTAAATAACCATCCAGACTTGGATCCGTATGTGAAAAAATTAATTGCATGCAAGCATAAAGTCACTGTGGTATTAAATGTTTTACAAGCATCACAGGTAAGTAAAGTAAATAGTAAAAATGTAAACTCTTGTGATGTTTAAAATTAGCCTAGAGCCTAGATAGAATTATAGTGGCTAAAAAAATTTTTCTGATAAAAAAACAAGAATTTCTTATAAAATAAGCATCAATAGCATTTACTGTTGTTTTCTTACATGGTAACTTAATGTTTTTGATTGATGAGCAACATTGATAATTTATATAGACTATTATCACAAGTGGTACCTGAATGCAGATCACCTAATATCAGTATAACTTTAAGTACCTCACTTACTCTACACCAACCTAAGGTTGACTGCTGGTAGAAATGCCATTTGCAATAAATCCTATGTATAAGTCTGTGGGGGAAGCCTATGTTCAGCAGTGGACTTAAACATGCTGAAATGATGATGTATAAGTTGGTCTATAAAGCTTTAATAAATAACTAATGCATTATTTTTATTTTCAGGACAGGCTGAATGAAATAAGACGAATGATAAATAAAGACAAACCAGTACATACTCCAGTGCAGTTTCAACCATCCACAGAACCAGAACAGAGCACCAGTGGTATTGTATCTGACCATCCAAGTATAAACTAATGCAATGGAAACTCCTCTTCAAAGCCATATTGATAAAGCCGAATACGACTTTGTTTATGAACCAGCAGAAGATAGCTTTTTACTAATTGATGCTTTAGAGAAGGATTTGGAATATTTGAGAGGCAAAAACCCCACATTCTGCCTTGAAGTTGGCTCAGGAAGTGGTATTGTTATTACAGCATTTGGAATGGCCTTTCCAACAGCTTTATGTTTCAGTACAGACATAAACTTGAAAGCATGCAATATGACCCAAAGTACTGCTATCAAGAATAATGTCTTAATGGAAACTGTCAACATGGATCTAGCAAGTTGTTTTGTTGAAAATAAATTTGATATCATTCTATTCAATCCGCCTTATGTTGTGACCGATTCTGATGAATGTGGCAGTTGTGATATTACAGCTAGTTGGGCAGGAGGAGTAAAAGGCCGTGAAATCACTGACAGGCTACTTGACATGATACCAAAGATTCTGGCCCCCAATGGTACTTTTTACCTATTATTAATTGATGAAAACATTCCAAATGAAGTCATTGCAATTATGTCTGGATATGGTTACACTACAGAAATTGTAATCAGAAGAAGAGTAAGAAACGAGAACCAATTAGTTTTAAAATGTTTAAAATTCTATTAAAGAAATAATAAAATGTTGTTTTTAATTATAATACTTTTTAATGATTGCAAAATATATAGTAATTTAATTTTTGGCAGTAAGAAATTGAAGAAATAACTATTCTCTTACTGTCACTATCCTTAAACTACTAAACCTAAATAAAATCAGTAATGGTTTCAGAATTGAGTTAGATTTGTGTGTAGGGGATATATTTTTTTTTCTAAATGTTTTTCTAAACAATCAATTTTACAGATTAACAATCAGTTTGAATATTGAATCTTCAACCGAATAACATATTCATTATTGACAGCTGTGAAGCTGTTTTACATTCTTAAGGTTTTTTTTTTTTTTAATATTCTATGTTATCTGAGCCTCTCAAGAGGAAAGCCTTCCATAAGCCATCCACTACTCTTGCAAATGTAAGCTTGTATGAGGAAAGCTATGTTTGTATGCTGCACAAAATTTTGTTGTAGTTATTGCCAAATTTATTGTACCATGTAAAGCACTCCACAACCGGCATTAAGTTTGGTGTATATTAGAGTATATCAAATAAATTATGATAAATACAGGCTTTTATAAAAAATATGCAGTGAATATAATAATAAAAGAACTTTTTATCCCCATTGCATTTAATTTTAGAGCATATGAATTACGTCTTGTACAAATGTAAAATTAACATTATGTGGTTGAAGATATGTATTTATAATTATTCTTGTAAACATGTTTAAGTTATCAAGAACTTTATTATGTTAAAAATAATATACACCTTATAATATGGCCCTAAATATCTATTTCAGCATATAATAAAATGTTTCAACTGCTTATTTGATATTTTTCCTTACAGCTTCACCAAAACGTTTAGCTCCTTCTTCGCTTTCTTCATAACCAGGCAGGCTTGAACATTCCTTTAGCCATCGCTGGATATTTGAGAATTGAGATATATCCCATCCCACTGCCTGAAATATTGTTTTAATTTTTATGAATAGGCCACTTGCAATAGAATGTATTTTTATGAGTAGCTTAGTAAAAAATATATACGATATCCATCATTTTCAATTCCGATCCCCATATTAGCCAAACATAAATTACTAATAATTGACAAACAGGAATTATTTTTGTAGTAAACATTCAATTATTTTAAATAGTAAAACTTACCATAATAGCAGATACAGAAGCATAAATAGAAGTATCTGCAATTGTGCAATTATTGCCTGCTACCCATTTTGAGTTCTCCAAGAACTTATCAAGAAATCTAAGTGTATTATTTAAATCATCCTTTAATACATCAGATATTGATGTCACACCAAGATACAGTATTGGATACTACAACAGCAAACAAATGTATTATTAATAATATTAAGATTTTTATTATTTAACTGAGTTAAGCTGTTACAAGTTAGGTGCTATGTGAGATGAATACTCATATTAAGAACTTAAATTATCCTGATGTGACTCATAAAACAGAAGACTGTAGGTAGTGAGTTTTAATTTAAATCAACATATTTAGTATTTTTACTTGGATAACTTAAACTCATATGTCCTATGCATTTTTAACAATAATTATGTTAGCCGCAACAATATAAAAAACAACAGTATAACTGCAACAAATATTCAAAGCTATGTAAAGTGCCCCCTTTTGTTATTTTTTACTTTACTTCAAAGCTAAGCGTTTTTTATATTATATTAATTGATAATCATTCCCTTTTTTATGTTAAAAATATTAGTTAATTCATAAACTACACATATAAGTTTAAATAACATAGGCCTACAATGGTTTTTTTATCTCTGAAACTTGAATGTAGGTTTTGATAGTTTCTGAGGTGCTGTTTTTGGAAAAAGTTCCAACACATTAAATGATTACTACCTCATATTTTACACGTTTTAAAATGTGTCAGTTATACTGTGCAATTTAACATGTTAACTTACAAATAATATAATATGGGTATGATGAAACATTTTAAAATTTTAAGAATGAGGTTTCAAATACCCTCAAAACATTTCCGTGTTGATATTAAATACCAAATTAAAAGGTATTTTTGTTGGCCCTGCCTCTGATATGAGAAAATTGATGAAGGACAAGAAATTTTATTGAAAACTTAACGCGACTATGTTACAGGCAAGGCCCTTTCTTAGGGAAGTGGCGAAAAACTTAAGGAAAAATAAGGACCTAAATCTTCGCTAAAGTGGAAGAAGTGGAATAAAATCATGTTGGTTGCTTACTACACAAAATAATCCAAACAACAATTTTAAAAAAACATCACTGAGCTTTGAGGACGAGATACCGCTGTGATTTTTAGCATGTTAACATAAATACTATATTTAGCTATATGTCGCCTATGTATTTAAGTTAGTTTAAACATTTGTTGTAATTTAATAAATATAATTTTTACTAGGTGGTTCCTTGTTAGAAATCTCTCTGTGCACCCACCTACCTATTTTTCTCTGTACCACCTCAAGGTTGACTGGGAGATAATGCTTTTAGCATTAAGTCCGCCATTGCACTATTTGTGCATAAAGGGTAAATAAATCTTTGTAGGCCTGTGTAATTCATAAGATTTTTATAAATTTAATTAGTATTGTAACCCAAGATTCCCACAATTCACAGATAAACATACACAAATTGCTCTTATCTTCACATAAAGGGATGAACTATCAAAATGTAATCTCTGATGCACTAATGCTCGCTTTTTTAAGTCTTTTGGATATATAGTATCATCTTTCCCATACTTATCTGCTAAGTAACAAGCTATAGCACGACTTTCCCACAAAATGAACCCATCGTCGTCTAGTGTAGGCACGCAATGTTGCGGATTTTTCTTTATAAAACTTTCTTTAAGCTGCTCTTTCTTGAATAAATCAACTATTTCCACGTCGACAGGTAACCCAACTAATTTAGCAGCCATTAAGGCACCTCGAGAAGGTCCACTCAACGGAAAATGGTACAATTTCACGTGGGTCATTCTAAAATATTGTTAACTTTTTTTTAAGTTAAGACGCAAACAGGTATATATTTTAGGCATATAAAAGAACTCTTTGGACGCAAACTACAATAAGTCAAGTAGGTTAGGGTTAGGTGCATAATTCGACAACATTCGCCAATCTAATCCAAAGATTCCAAAGACCACAAAGAGTTCTTTTATACAGCTATCGTTACAACTGCGACAATAAATGAACACACATATATAAGAGGATAACTTTTTAAAATTGTATTGAACATTTACATTCTTTAAATATCAATATTTACAGAGTTATTAAATTTTCCAAAACAAACAATTTTAGAACACCTTACGTATAAAACGATAACGTAAAGTTCGTTTCTTAGTTTGTTCAAACTCAAAAAGCATATGAATGGGTGTTGAATGAATTTAAGAGACAAAACATACTGTTATGAGAGGCATAAATTGCGACGCTATGGCAACAAATGAAAAAGTCTCTGATTGAAGGTATAAATCACTCGGCTAGTTGTTCAAAGAGAATGTAATCACTACGTTTATTTTATGAGTTGTAGTTTTAAAGGTGTGATGAATAATAAAAAACCTGGTTATTAGGTTTTATTAAGCAGAAAATATATACATACGTAAGAACGATTGTGTCAGTAATAAGGAACATCCAAAAGAATAATTTTAAAAACAATGTTTACATTTATGGCGAATAGCCAGTATTATATCATTTACCCTATCGAGTAAAAGTAACAATCTTTTAAATATTCTGGCCCCTTAAGTAACATAATCTTTTAAATATTCTGGCCGCTTTTTAGTTCTAACCGGTCCGCTCCATTGTCATTACTTCTCTACATTGTTCATTATCTTCTCGTATATTTCCACTTGGCAGATCTATCAAGGTGTTACAAATTTTGATTTTTTTACTTCTTGTAATTATGGATTTTTTTAACGTTAATATTTTTTTATGATTATTGGCAAGGAGCAAGGAGCATTGTGAGTTGGGGGGGGGGGGGGGGGGGGGATGTGGGGCAGCTTTCTATTACGTTCAGACATATTTATGTATGTGGGAATGTTTGTAAAGATCATGGAATGCTATGTGTGGGAGGATATTTTCAAAATATTTCTTATTTTATAGGTATATAATTTGTATTTTCCATAGTGGTAGTGTATCGGGCTTTCAACGCACATGAAAGCGAACAAAGAGTAAATATTTGTGGATGCCCTTATACATGTTGAAGCATCCGTTGAACTTGCGAATACATTGGAAGGTGCAGCTGTCGAGGAGTGCATTAAATATTGCAACTAAAGTTGAAGGCAATACTCTTCCTTCTCAGCTCCTACATGTGCTTTTTGACCTCTCTTTGGAGATGGCGTAACCTGGAGTGTCTTGCGTCAATCCGATATCGATTGAAAAGCACGGGTGGCTCTTCCGCAATAGTACCCTGAGCTGAGCTGAGGTTCTCTGATCTCTGACAATCAGGGTTGGATTTAGGTATGATGAAAAAGATAAGTAGTAGAAAAAATTGAAAATTTAAAATAATTTAAAATAATTGAAAATACACTTTATATATTTGATTTTAACAGGCATTAATTTACTCCTCTTCCAAGTTTATCAATTCTTCAATATTAGTTTCATCCACAGACTTAGTTTCATCCTTAGAATTTATTTTTTTAACATATCCTCAGTAGGAAATAAAATCAGTACAAATTACATTTTTAACCGACTTCAAAAAGGTTCGCAATTCGACTGTATTTTTTTTCTGTTTGTTACCTCATAACTTTCGACCCATATTAATTTCATTGGTAATGGATCTTTGGCTCCGGAGATACTTGTATAACTCCTGAAAATCAATTATAAAATTAATAAAGAGCGAGATTTGAAGGCGGTTTTGTTTTTCGTTATAAAAAGAACTTGTTCTCCCATTTTTGATGACGTCAAAACACAATAAAATGGCGTCTATGGATTATGTTTATTTCTTATCTTATGAATAGAGATCTAACTAAAATTTTGGGAGTTTGACTGTTGAACGCAACCTTTACCGCTAGCCGCTTTTATAATATAATGTATGACCACGTATAACAACACATCAAACAATACAATATAATCACAACAAACGTAATGATTACATTCTCTTTGCGTATGACGTCCGGGAGAGGGAGAAAGATAGCATGTCTAAAAACTGGCCCGTGGGCTACCTGAAATTGTTGCTTTTAGAACGATCTAGTTCTCGTTCCACTAGGGGTAGGACTAGAGATGCCGAAAGTCGAAAAATTTCTTCCTCAACAGTGCCTCAAACGGCTCGAGACGAAATTCATGTCCAATGTCCATGTCACGCCTATACCGGTTGTTTTGGGAGCACTGTGCTCGAAGTTGTTGAGGAGTACGTATATCTAGGACAGTTAGTCCGGCTAGGTAAGTGCAACTTCGACGTAGAGGTCAATCGGCGAATCCAATTCGGAAGGCCAGCGTTCGGGAAACTACGGCAAATCTTCTCGTCGAATATACCTCAATGTTTGAAGTCTACAGTGTGTGTTGCAAACCAATGTGTGTTGCCAGTGATGACATACGGAACTGAGACGTTGTCCTTCACTGCTGGCCGTATGAGGAAGCTCAAAGTCCCGCAGTGAGCTATGGAGCGGGCTATGCTCGGTATTTCTCTGCGTGATAGAGTTCGCTTCGAAGACATCCACAGTATAACAAAGGTAACCGACATAGTTCAGAAGGTTAGTAAGCTGAAGTGGCGATGGGCCGGCTATATAGCTCATAGAACTGATAACTGCTGAGGAAGAAAAGTTCTCGAGTGGCAGCCTCGCACTGGCGATCGCAGTGTAGGACGACCCCCCACTAGATGGAGTGACGACGTGTGCAAGTGTGCGGGAATGTAATAGCGGGAATGGATGCAGGTGGTTCAGGATCGTGCTTTGAGGCAGTCTATGGGGGAGGCCTATGCTCAGCAGTGGACTCAAACAGGCTGAAATGATGATGATAATGATGATGATGATGATCTATATATCGATATTTTTTCGGAATCTCTAGGTAGGACAGACTGCATATTACAAACTAGGTGCCCAGGTGGAGTCTGGTCGCCCGGTTTCTGAAATAATGATCATTGTAGAAGTCAAGTTCATTCAAACGGGATAAAGTTTTTAATTCATAGTTTGTACTTTGTTACAATTTTTATTAGGAATCTAAAAGTATTTAATACTATAAAAAGACCATCACATCTTCATACTCATAAAATGTTGATATTTAACAAAGAATAATATTTAAATATATTGATAAACATCTTTAAAATTTATGAACATTAATAAAAACATTCACTTTTTAAGATTTTTTTTAACAGCCTCTGCAAACATTTTTGCGCCTTTTTCATTTTCTTCATACCCCGGTAAACTAGCACAATTTTTTAGCCACCGCTGAATATTGGGAAAAGATGATAAATCCCATCCTGTTGCCTGAAAATCATGGAAGCATATAAAACAATCAATCATGTTTAAATTCAATAATCAAAAATTATATTGTAAATGTTCTATGGCTTGATAGTTTTTAATATAGGTAATTTATTTTAAAAATTATTTAAATTTTTATACATAGTTTTTTATATTGCTCTGCACTTAACATTAAACATTAGAATTTAAAAAAAAAATTCAAACATAAAATGTTTTTCTATAAATATGTGATATATTTTTACTTTTAACTAAGTAAATATAACAACATAAAGTAAAGAAAGAACCGTTAAAGCTTAGTTTCAAAATAAACTTAACATTTAAAAAAAAATTAAGTTGGAACATTTTCAGATTTCCCTCTTTCAGATTTATACTTACAAAGATTCCTGATAAAGAAGCTAAGATAGTTGTGTCAGCAATGGTTACATTGTCACCAGCCACCCATTTACTGCCATTTAAGTGTTGTTCTAAAAGTGCTAGTGAGGTATTAAATTCTTCCTTTAAATTTTCTTTTATTTCTGTCTCACCTTTGTAAATAATGGGGTACTGAAAAAAAATTATCATATTTAAATAATTACACCGTATAAGAATAAAATTAAATAATTAATATTAAATAAATAAATTGAAATTTAAAATAACGTACACAAATAGCTCTCATTTTAACTACTAAATTGGTACCATCAAAATACAAACGCTGATTGACAATAGCACGCTCTTTAGGGTTTTTAGGATAAATTGAATCATCTTTTGCATATTTATCTGCAAGATAACAAGCTATAGCTCGACTCTCCCAAAGGATAAAGCCATCATCATCAAGTGTAGGTACGCAATGTTGAGGGTTAATTTTCAAATAGCATTCATTGTATTGCTCTTTCTTAGTCAAGTCCACAATTTCTAATTGCACAGGCACTCCAACTAATCTTGCTGCCATCAATGCCACTCGTGCTGCTCCACTCGCAGGGTAGTAATAAAGCTTAATAGAAGACATCGTGGTGAAAAGTTTGTTTATCAGTCTAAAAATAAATGTTTATCATCACAGGTAGCAAAATATTTGACGTTTAAAACATTACACCGGTAACTTTCTCGAAATTATACTTTTTAGTAGTCGTTATTGCCCTAACAGTTTATCCTATCTCGTCTATTTGAACTGTTACCAGCTACAGAGAATATATAGTATGTGAAATAAACGTAGTGGTTATATTCTCTTTGATGTGAAATAGGAAACTGGAATGTACTCCTGATTTTAAAGCAGGTATGGAGATGGATAAATCGGAATCGAAGATCGAAGTCGGATACAATGCATTCGGATACGACTGAAATCCTCCGAAAATGCTCGACCGATTTTCGTGAAATTTTGTGTGCATATCGGCCAGGGTGGAGAATCGGACAACATGGATGTCTCCGTGGTGCATGACTATTTTTCATCCCCCTAAATGCTAAGGGCGGTGCACCCCATTTTTTTAATAAAAAGTTTTTGTTTTTATTTTTTATGATACACCATACAAAAATAAATAGAACCCTAAATTTTCACCCCTCTACGCAGACGTAGTCGTGGGCAGCAGCTAGTACATTATAATATGTCATTCTTAGTACTTACTGTACTTGTGACTAGTGTATATTGTGGCACGCCACCTGAAAGGAAAAAGAATATTAAATAAAAATAATAAATAAATATTAATCGTATTACAAATTATACTTAAATATTTCTGCACGAGATGCGTCGCGGCTGCGCTGGAGTTGGAAGCGCCGTTGCATCGCGCGATACAGTAGTGCGCTCACGGCTTCCGTACATTAAACTGCGTCACTTGTACCGATACGTAAAACTTGCGAATCCAGTGCTAATATTTGGACAATTAAATATCTGTTGTGTATGTGTGAGTTCTAACGTTGTGTATGTATATGTTACGTGTTTTAAAGTGTAAATAAATAATATACCTGGGCTGAACAATTATAGTTTGATTTGCAAACGCGACAACTATTATAGGTTTATCTCAAATAGAACCCGAAACCTATAAACTGGTGACCCCGACGTGATCTGAGGACCTTAAAGTAAGACCTACCTGCAATTTTTCAACAAACAAAAGATGTCGCGTCCACGTGAACTCAACCCGGTGAAGGAGACGGTCCCGCCGCATAAGGCCGACACTGAAAATTTACAAACGGGTTCAGAATTATTTCGAGTCGGTGTCAAGGTGCCCCCATTCTGGCCGGATCGCCCAGCTTTATGGTTCGCGCAAATAGAAGGCCAATTTATATTATCAGGTATAAATTCGGATACTACCAAATTTTATTTTGCGTGCAGCAACTTAGATCACCAATACGCGGTGGAAGTGGGCGACATTATTGAGAACCCTCCAAAGGAGAATAAGTACCAAACGTTAAAAGCAGAACTAATACGTAGACTATCGGCTCCCCGTGAAGAAGAGATAAAAATTTTTCTTAGTAGTGAGGAGATGGGAAATAGAAAACCCTCCCAATTTTAGCGGCACCTTCAACATCTGGCTGGACCGCAAATACCAGAAGAACTCATACGCACGACATGGCACAGCCGACTGCCACAGAACATACAGCCCATTATAGCGTCGCACGGTGACATACCCATAGAAAAGTTGGCAGAATTGGCAGATAAAATACTTGCGATAGCTGCTCCAACACCTCAAGTCGCAGAGATAACGCCTTCTACTTCAGGCGCTTTGAACCAAACTTGGGTAGCGATGGAAGCGATGGCAAAGCAGATAACAGAGCTAACAAAGCAAGTAGCTGCATTAAGCGCACGTCAGAACCACCCACCGGGAAGGAGATTTTACCGAAGACGGTCAAGATCTCGTTCAAGATCTCAAAGCAGGAGTGATATTTGTTACTACCACAACAAGTTCGGTAGCCGTGCGTATAAGTGCACAAAACCATGTGGTTTCCAGCAGGGAAATGCCAACGGCAGCCAGTAGTGGCGGCTAATGACTGCCTTGATGAGTGCAACGGCCGCCTCTTTATAACTGAAAAAAAGACGAGAAGCGGAAGAACGGTATATTTTCCAAAATACTATCGACCGTGAACCGGTCTCGGTAGGGGAGTGATGTGGCACGCCACCTGAAAGGAAAAAGAATATTAAATAAAAATAATAAATAAATATTAATCGTATTACAAATTATACTTACATATTTCTGCACGAGATGCGTCGCGGCTGCGCTGGAGTTGGAAGCGCCGTTGCATCGCGCGATACAGTAGTGCGCTCACGGCTTCCGTACATTAAACTGCGTCACTTGTACCGATACGTAAAACTTGCGAATCCAGTGCTAATATTTGGACAATTAAATCTCTGTTGTGTATGTGTGAGTTCTAACGTTGTGTATGTATATGTTACGTGTTTTAAAGTGTAAATAAACAATATACCTGTGCTGAACAATTATAGTTTGATTTACAAACGCGACAACTATTATAGGTTTATCTCAAATAGAACCCGAAACCTATAATATCCGGCCTAGAGCCCAAGTACAGTGTCGAGTGGCGAGTAACAGTACAGAAAAGTATGTTTCAATCTTTAGATAGTGATTTAGAGCGTGCCCATTTTCTAGGTGTCTCATCTAAAGACGAACGGCAAGACAACACATAATAAGTAGCTTACTTACCTTTTTTATTACTATCTACATTGTCTTCCTTTTTTTTTAAACATTAAAAACGTTAAAATAATATTATCCTGTAAGGATGATTTACAAATTTAAATTGTTGTGCTAATCTTTGCACTTAACATTAAAATATGTAGAAAAAGAACGAAAAGATTGTCGACTCAAATGTGGGAATCGAACCCACGTGTTCGGCATTCGCGGCCTGACGCTTTAGCCGCTAAGCTAAACGGCTGATTGCCACACCGGTGAAAATCATAATCATCTTTTATCTGCAATGTTTTCATTTGAAGCAATGCTTGACGCATCCATTTTTATATCCTTTCCAGCATACAAACAATTTCGAATATCGTTTTACAACGATAATTCGAACGAGAGATGTCGCCATTGCTATTTAGTACTTCGGTTAGGACCGAGGCCGCATCAGAGGCAGCTAAATTAAATAAGTTGCGCAAATACCAGCCTTTTCGTTCGGATTTTATTTCTGAAATTTGTTGTTGAAACTTTAGGTCCTTGGGATCCCCATACATCGATTCTTTTAAACTTTTACGTCCTAGACTTATCGTCGCGGCTAGTGAAGTGAAGGCTGTTTTTTTCTCGCTCAAAGCGTAAAAGGGGCCCATTCACTATCCTACCTGGCAGTCCACCGTGCATGCCGGATGGCTTGCAGGATAGTGTGTGGGCTACATCCTGCTTTGCAGCCCTGCACGGTGGACTGCCAGGCAGGATAGTGAATGGGCCCCTTAAGTCTCAGACCACTAAAGATTTATTCAAAAGAGTTTACTCCACGTATATTCAAAAGAGTACTTTGAAAACAAGTGCACAATTGAGAAAAAGTGTTGCCAACTGGCGAGCACATAGATGACATATATACTGAAAGCAGCCTATGATATTACGTCTTATATTATGTCTTTATATTAATATTACTTGTCTCAGATAAATGTTTACATTTTGTTCTGAGGGTTAAGCATAACACTAAAATTCTACCAATATTAATATAAATATTGTATTTATTAATAAAATTTATTAAGATTTTTGAACACTTATTGTTACCATTCACTCTGTCACTGTCAGTGTCAATTCTCGTCTTGTCATTCCCAATTTCCAAAGAATACTTTTATTAAATGCCAATTTCCCATGACTGACTTGATATTGGTAGAATAATAGAATTCTCTAAACTCTAAAGAGAAGCCAATAGCCAATTAGCCATAAAGAAAGAAAGAAGAAGAAGTACTACTCTTATTGAAAATAAAAAATATACGTTTCGGTTATTGGCGATATTATATGGACCGCCAACTGCCTTAGAAGAAGAAGAATATTTCGATTCTAAAACAATAACAAATATGGTTGTACAAAAGTGTAGGATTTGTTTAGATATAGGAACTTTTGATAACATTTTTAGGGTAAACGGTTCGTTGATGATTTCTACACAAATTATGTCTCTTGCAAATATCTCTGTGAGTACATACATCACATAATAAATATTAATGGTCCCATATTGAATATTATTATGTCGTTAACATGTAATTTGATATGTAAAGTCTCAATGATGACTGCGACCTAGAAGGCCTTTTGTAGTCTTAATTTTATATTTAATGATTAGTATAATGATTGCCTCTTTTTTGTTCTCCAAGTGTTTGGTGCTATGGTGCTGTTCATAAGTCAAATTTAACATTAAACACACTAAAGTAATTTTATTGTCTATTTATAATATTAAGATTCAAGAAATAAAATTGAGAATAAGCTATTCTATTAATATATTTAAATAAAGTTAGCTAATAAATAAATTATTACATGTTTTAGATTTTTCCTGGTGATGGATTACCTTCGACAATATGCTTAATATGCACAAACAGACTTGAAAATTGCATTGACTTTGTGGAACAATGTGAAAGATCTGATTTACATCTTCGGTCCAAATGTATTGAAACTGTGAGTGTAGATAGCTCAAATGATGATGATAAGGGGACTATAAAAGTTATTGAGGAGAACCGCAACACATTCAGTTCTGAAGAAATTAATAAACATTGCCTTAAAAAGGGTTTGGTTCATGATTTGTCTTTAAATCACCAATTGAATGACGGTACTAAACCTTTTGAGAATGTTAGTACTAAAAGTGGAAAAGGTGTTTTAACTAATAATTTAGATAATTTAGTGAGTAAGAAATCGCATAAACAGCAATGTTTTACATGTGGCAAGGTAATGTCTTCTAGGTGCGTACAGTTATGAACGCATTTCCTAAGTATTTTATTTGAAAAAGATTTTAATCAAGCAGGCTTCTCTTGATATGCTACAATATTATGTTGGTTTCTGTATATAGCATATTCTAAATTTTTTTACAGATTTCGATTGAAAACACACCTACGCACTCATACTGGAGAGAGACCATATTCTTGTCCTCACTGCAGTAAGAATTTTTCATTAGCACAGAACTTGAAGGTTCATCTTAGGATACATACGGTAAATTTCTTCACACAATATAAGGTATAACAAAGATGGAAGTAGTAGTAATAACAATTGTAGTAATCAAATTTAATGTTTGTTTAAGGCATAATATAAGTTAAAACCTATTTAAGGGTAAGGTAAATGTAAGGTTTTAATTTATATAATATTTCTCAAACAATTAAAATTTGTAAATGTTTCAAGTTTGAAAAACGGGATAATGTGGTAAATTATTACCAATATTTTTTTTAACTTTTATGTCGAAAATGTGCGGGTTCCTCACGATTTTTTTCACGGTTGACTATGTGATGAGTCATCATATAAATCAGAAGAAAAACAGCTGTCTAGCTGTTTATTGAGGTATCACAGCTTGTCCATATATGTATACAAGCTGCTGCCCGCCACTACTTCTGCGTAGAGGGGTGAAAATTGAGGATTGTATGTATTTTTGTATGTTGTATCATAAAAAAATTTAAATTAAAAATTTTGTCTAAAAAATAAAAAATAAAATTTTGGGGTGGACTACTCCTAACATTTAGGGGGATGAAAAATAGATGTTGGCCGATTCTCATAGATACCGGATAAGCACAAAAAATTTCATCAAAATCGGTCAAGCCGTTTCGGAGGAGTATGGCAACTAAAACTGTGACACGAGAATTTTATATATTAGATCTATTTAGTACAGAATGAACACTCAATGTATTAGTAAATTGTTTTATGTGTGTTTATCTCCTTAAAACATTGAATTGTTATAGCTTGTTTGCGTATTTCGGATGAAACATTCTAAACTAATTGTTTAACAATATAAATGAAGATCCTTTGTTTTGTTCATGAAATAAAAAGAATTATTTATTTTTTTCAGGGTGAAAAACCATTTCGCTGTATGGTTTGTGGAGAGGCTTTTGCCCATTCTGCAGGTTTGGCTGTACACAAGCGGAAACATACGGGTCAAAAGCCATATCAGTGTATTTTATGTCCACGTAGTTTTCGAACGGCCGGGCACCTACAGTATCATGTAAGGTAAGTAATATTCATATCCTATTTAATTATTAGGTCTTACGTATTTTACCACAAGGGGTTAACAACAATTTGTCACTGATAGGCCGGCATCAGCTTCATTTAGCAAAGGTGGAATAGTGTCCACTTTAAAGCAAACATTAACCATACCATGATTTTCTTATAAGAAGAGCCTACGAGTTATTAGAATTGAAAGTTTAAGATTCTTAAACAAAACCCGAACTACTTGTCTTCTACGTATTTCAACATCCAAATATTCGGTAAAAATTTTTTTATATTTTCAGGAAACACACGGGGGCAAAAAATTTCGAATGTCATACATGTGGACGAGCCTTTATAACTCGAAGCGATCTTAAGCAACATTTGGTAACGCATTCCGGTGAAAAAACACATGTTTGTTGCATTTGTGGAATGCGAATGACGCGCGCCTCTCATCTTAAGAGACACATACGCTTCATTCATAGTAACGACAAGCGAACACAGTGTGAAAATTTCTCCGAACTGGAAGAAAATCAGAAAAACGAAATCTCCAAAGAAAAAGTGGATCATCTTAAAAGTCCTTGAAAATTAAATGTTTATAAAAAGATCTGTGGCCTATTATTATATTATGAGCTATGTTCTTTTAAAAGACGTATATAAATATTAATGTATACGTTTTAAAAGTTCTGGCAGATGCTTTACGGCACAATCGTTTAGTATTGTGCAATTTCACGTTATGTGAATACTTGAAGCTAAATAAAAAAAAAATATGTTTATTCAAATAGACGCTTGCGCGTTCTTATGAATCGTCAAATTTTACATCAAAAATTATATATTTAGGTTCATAAGGTATCCTAGCCGAATATCTAAAAGTTGTATGTATACGTCGCCATAAATTAAAGTAAAAACTGCCGAGTGCGAGTCGAACCCGCGCACGAAGGAATTGTCTGTTGTATGGGCCCCACTCCAATATATTTTTTAGTATTTGTTATTATAGCGGCAACATCATCTGCGAAAATTTCAACTGTCTAACTATCACGGTTGATGGGATACAGCCTGATGACAGACGAATAGCGGAGTCTTAGTAATAGAGTCCTGTTTTAGCCTTTGGGTACGGAACCCTAAAAAAAGCGTCAATATAGTATAGTGATCTGCGGCAGGACGCACCCGTTCCCAAATGCGAAAACTCATCCAACCGGATCCTCGTGTAGGTTCTTATCAGGCACAGCAGCCAACAACTCTCATGCCACCAGTCAACGAACCAGTCGATAGGGAGAATATCCCTATCGACTGGTTCGTTGCTGGATAAGCTTCCGCAATCACAAGACACTCAAGAATAGCATGAGGCAGTGATGGATTTACCAGCAGGCTAAGTACGCTAGAGCCTAGGACGACAGATTTTGTGACCGGCAAATTTGATCCAAATGTATATACACTCAATGAATTATAACTAAACCCTTTGTGTAATATATTTTCGTGTTCATACATTTTTAAAATATTCTGGCTCAAAGCGTGTGAAAAACTATATTTACGATCGACTTTAAGTTAAGAAAAGTTAAACGCCATAGCTATTTGTACATAGAGCTAGACTTATTATGAAATTACTTACTTAGAATGAACAAGATTTCATAGGACGATATAGTTGATGATTTTGCGAATTTGAAATCTCGCAATTTCAGAGGTCAGTAGGGGCGGCAAAATTAAACAGCTTATTGGCGGTAAATTTTTAAATCCGCAACTGGAACGAGGCGAGGTCGTTTACGACTTGGACACTCAACATCTTCCGTTAGGTATTGATTATCTCCAGTATCATTGCGGACTCACTAGCTCCAAGGAACCCCAAATCAAAATCTATTGGGAGACCCACGCGAGATCAATGTTTACTGATAAATACAGTGCGCCCATCTTGACGCCGAATGATGTGGCAGCTCGCAGCGTCAAGAGCAAAATGCAGGAGGAACAGCAGCTGGTGACGTCAGTGGCGGGATGTACGAGTTGCCCGGGCCTGCTCCCGGGTATGGTACTACACCGGATTCGGGAGAAGTGGTGACTTCTGAAACTTTGGGCCCGTTTGCAACAGCATACTAACAGCAATTTTAACAGCATACTACCTACCGAAACTGTCCAGATAAAGAATGAAAAATTGGCGTCATATTTCTTATCTCAAAAGATGGCAATAACAGTCGGCAGTCGGCAAATTACCGCCCCATTTTGTTGTTACCACAGCGTGTTAAACTGTTTGAGCATCTTCTGCTGAGCCGGATTGTCACCTGCGTAGAATTACTTAGGGAACAGTTCATCTTACGCAGAGGCCACTTTAGTACTGCCCAACTAATCATAGTGTTGCACTACCTTACAGACAAGGGCGGATCCAGCTTTGGTGCCAGGGGGGGTCACGTAGTCGTGGTCAAGTGATAAGAAGTTATAATTTATTTTTTATAATCATAGATACAAGTAAAAAGTAGGTACTTATTTTTAACCGACTTCAAAAAGGAAGTTATCAATTCGGATGTTTATATTTTTTATGTCGGTATGTTCGGGCATACCTTCATACAGACGGATTTGCAAAATTCTTTTTTGTTCGTAACATTTCGTTACTTTTTATTATCATATATTATACAGGGTGGCTTTTATAAGGGTGTCCAAATTCACACAGGAGGTTCAGACTAGGTAGTATAATCGTTTATTGAAATAAAAACAAACTTTTTTTAAAAAAAATTGGCATTCTATTCCCTAAAAAGAACAATAAACTTGTTGCCAATGCAGTAGTCATTCATAAATGCGTCGTATACTTTTGAAACGAACTTGTGTGCGTGTTAGTTATGAATGATCGCGCGTAAAATAAATTTCATGTAGTCATATTGGTTATAATATTCACTATTCCTCTACTCCGCACGCTAACTCCACTTCAATGACAAGTAGCGTAAGACGGGCCTATCGGGACACGGGTTTAGTAATAATAATATTACAGCGTGTCGTTACCATCGCGACAATAAATAAACACGCATATAGGGGATAACTTTTTAAAGTTGTATTAAACATTTAAATTCTTTAAACATCAATATTTACAGAGTTATTAAATTTTTCAAAACAAAGAATTTTAGAACATCCTTACCAGCTATAAAAGCGTAACGTAAAATTCATTTGTAAAGGTCACAAAGCATATGAATGGGTTGAATGACTTTAAAAGAGACAAAGCATACTGTTAGAAGGAGAGGCTTGTAATACGACGCTGTGACGCGAGTTGTATAGGGTGTTACAAATTTTGTTTCTTTTTTACTTAATTAGTTTGTTTGAAAAATATTTTTTTTAATTATGGATTTTGTTTAACGTTAATATTTTTTATGATCATTGGCAAGTAGCGTTAGACGTGTGTTCATTTATTTTCGCGATGGTAACGACACGCTGTATAATCAACCCAAATGAAAAGTCCTAAAATAGCCGTACACAAAATAAAATTATATTGTCCGCATTAAAAAAATGATCATAAATAACAAAAAAAATATTTATTCAGTCATTCATTCATTCATAATAATGATGAATAAATGAATAATAATAAAATCATTCATAATCAAAGACAGAATCCACAATCATAACAAACGGAACGAACAAACATTTTTTCCCAAAGATGGTCTCGCACACTCACGTTCACTAAACCACCACATCTCACCACCCATCAAAAACAGTCCACCCATTAAGACGAATCAAACTCGACGCAGTTGTGTTCCTTAATTTCTGAGTCCCTATGGCCACATTCTAGCTCTGTCATCAGACCCTGGTTACCATCTAGCACCAAAGAACTCGTCATGACGAATCAAACGAGCCGAGATACGATAGGGTTGCGTTGTTTCTTTACTGAGTTCATATGACTATCTTCCAGCTCCATCATCAGATCTGACCCTGGTAACCATCTAAAAATTAAGTACTCACCAAGACGAATCAAACCAGCCGAATATCGATGGGGTTGAGTAGTTTCATTACAGAGTAGTCATAGGAACCTCACAGAATAGCCTCATAGACCTCACAGAAGATCGGCGTAAAGTACTTCTGCGATTTGTCTGGTGAGTGAGGTAGCCGGAGCCCAACTTTATTATAAGGAGAAAACGCATATGCAACCCTATGCATATGTCCATGGACGGCTGAAGATGGAGCTCCATCATCAGATCCTGGTTACCAATGAAAGACAAACTACTCGTCAATAAGATTCAAATGTACTCAAACGCGATGAAGCTCTGTCGTTTCATATCGAAGTTCCTTTGGCCTTCTTCCAGCTCCATCATCAGATCAGCACCATGTCATAAAAATATTGCATTGTCTCGCGATTTATACATGTATACAAAATTTCAGCTCAACCGGTAACCGGGAAGTAGATCAAATTTAATTTGCAAGATTTGATATGATGATTTAACATTAGAATATTGTAAAAATGTTCATATAATGAAAAATACTTGTCCAAACTATGGTAAATTTTAATGGGACCAAATGGCAACTATTCTGCATTAAACTAAAGAAGAATCACGTAAATCGGATCATAAATCTCAACGTAATCGGTGTACATACATCGACAAAAATATACCAATCGAATTAAGAAACTCCTCCTTTTGAAGTCGGTTAAAAATATCATATTCATTTAATTAAATATTGAAGGTACTTTCAGAAGATCTATATGAATGTGCAAAATATATATAAAAACATGTTTAACAATTTTAATTAGTGGTCCACCTAGGACCTGGACCCTGCCCAGGGGGGGGGGGAGGTCATGACCCCATGACCCCCCCCGTGGATCCGTCCTTGCTTACAGACCAGTTCAAACGGGGCCTTGATATGTCTGGGGGTCGTTCTCGATATTAAGAAGGTCTTTGTCCGACTATGGCACACAGGCTTAATTTACAAAATAACTACTCTAACCACACGGTGGTACGGCTCTTGACTTCGAACAATTCAGATATTACATTTATTAATTGGTACTGCCCAACTAACCATAGTGTTGCACTACCTTACGGACCAGTTCAAACGGGGCCTTGTTATGTCTGGGGGTCGTTCTCGATATTAAGAAGGTCTTTGTCCGACTATGGCACACAGGCTTAATTTGCAAAATAACTACTCTAACCACACGGTGGTACGGCTCTTGACTTCGAACAATTCAGATATTAAATTTATTAATTGGCATTCAAGATGCCTATTAATAAATGTAATATTTGAAAATGCCAAGTTAGCCAAACTTACATTCGGTCTCTCTTGACCTATATATTTCCAGCGTGGTTTGGGCTGTTTACCAAAATGGAAATCGGACGCTACAGGCTCAGCAGATTCTCGCCCTACGTGTGACCGTGGGAGTAGAGCGTAATGACAGGAATGACGTGACAACTAAAAATTTTTAAAATTGAAACCATCTCCTAATTTCTGGTTCGTTAAATGTGTATATTCTCATTTTTAAATACGGACCACGTACACATTTGCATAATTTAGGACCGCTTCACGCTCGTGCATCTAACGGACGCACGTTTTCGTGTCACTTCCTACTACCGCGGTAGATATACTTATATGTAATGATTGTGCCTTTTACAGAGCATTGTGGCATTGAGTAATATTATACAGGCAAGCCAAACCTTGTTGGTATAAAGATTATCGTACGAGTTTACTCTAAAGGTACAATTTATTTTTGAGACTAAAACAGCATAAAGTGAAGCCTTTATGTGACTTTCGGTTTTCTACTACTACTCTACTCGAGTAAAATAACTCTTCGTTCTTATGAGGATAGAGTAGTCGGCGCAAGAATGCAATATATGAAATAGGAATAATCGATGATCGATGGAATTGCGTTAATTTTTAAAGTTTTTTTAGATCATGATTATAAACATTCTTCTTTATTTTTCGTCCATCTTCTGTTAACAGAAAATATCGTAAATATTATATTTCTCATTTAGTACGATCTGTATTTGGTAGACCTTAATTTTTAGGTGGCAACAATCAACATTTGTAAATTCGAATTTTCAAATTCATTAATAACGAATCCTTTCTTGGATTGTCTCTGTTGTCGTTCCTTGTCTTGGTTTTTATTTCTTAAAATAATTGCAGCCTTTATATTTGTTTGAAAGATATCCTTATTACCTGTTACATTTATCCAGTGGAATCTAGCAGTTTTTCTTCTTGTGGCCATGTCGGCAAGAGAAATTTATTATTCGGAGAAATACTATGATGAAGAAAACGAATACAGGTATGCAAACCAAAATGTCATGTCTCAAGAAACGGAAAGTAACAATTATTTTAAATTTCATTTTCTTTATTTATTTTTTAGTACACATAGATAATCTCAACGTTTATTTTTTCTGTTATTAAATATCTCTATCATTAAGAAAACGTAAATAAACAAAACCTTACACTGGAAATACTGAGGTAATTTTTTCCCTATTTAAATTTGCGGTAGGAATAGATGATTTCAAATAAACGAAAATTATGTATGGATAGATGTAACAAATAAGTCTATTTTAAAAATATTTTGGTATTAGTTTCCTTAAGTTTCCGGGTCAGACTTTACTAAATTGATTTAATAAAATTTTATAACCCACGTGTTATATACCGTCCCTTTGATGTGTTTAAACTATTATAAAATGTAATGTAAAACTAGTGCACCAAGGTTTACAATAATTATTGGAAGTAGAGTTTTCTTTCGATTTGGGCAGTTCATTAAGTCCAAAGCCAAAACAGCTGCAAGTAAGTTGGTTTTCCTTTTAAGAGTATCACCATTTACTATCAGGTGGTATCCTGGTTGAGTATTAGTCAATCATTTTTTAATCAAAAATAAAATAACAAATTAAAACTGACAAAAGAAAAGGAGCCCAATTTTCAAAAGGTTGTCAATGCATCTGTAACCCTCGGGGGTAGCAGATGTCCATGGGCGGCGGTATTCACTTAACATCAGGTGAACCATCTACTTGTTTGCCAACTTTTCACATTAAAAAAAATAGTATTGGAAACACTACACTATTATTAACCTCAATGAATATATTAACAATTTTAATTTTGTTCTTAGGCATGTTGTACTTCCGAAAGAAATGGTGAAACTGGTACCCAAGAATCATCTCATGTCTGAGCAGGAATGGCGAAGCATTGGAGTTCAACAGAGCCAAGGGTGGGTGCACTACATGACACATCAACCAGGTTAGAAAAATATGATTTTTTCACAGATAAAAATATGATTTTTTCAGATAAGACTTAGACTTAAATTAGTTTGCATATGCTCACTGTTTAATTTTTTCATAAAAAAATTATATTAATTAATAGTATTAGAATATATTTAATATATTATTTGTATAAGTTTAGCTAAAATTATACTGGAAAAGATTCAAAAGGGCTATTTAGTAATGAAGTTTGACTTAGTGTCTTACAATTGACCTGCAATAAATCTGCCCATCTGGTTTACTATTTTGCGAGCTACTAAACAACTGGTATTTTACATTATTTTTGGCATAGGTTTCTTTATTCCATCATTCTTTTCTTAAAAGTATGCATACTTTTTCCTCAATAGCTTTATGATGATATATGAAGAATGTTTGCCTGCTAAATATAACCATGGCAAAATGTAAGCAGCAATTTTGCATAACATTTTTGATAGTAAATGTTATAGTTATTAATAAATTTCTTTTTGATCTTAAATCATGGTCAAACAACTAAAATTTTCTGTTAAGGATTTACTTTTGCTTGTTTCAGAACCCCATATCTTACTGTTCAGGAGAAAGAGAACCACACCACCGGAGAAAAAGTAATTCCACACAAATGTTGTCACAGTGATGTGATTGTACAGTCTTCTCATGAGATTAGCTGTAATACTTAGCTCATAACAAACTTTTCTCTAAGTTGTACATTAATCAACCACATCAATTCAATTTTAAAATATATAATTTTTTTTTGTAATATAACACACCAAAAGCTTTGATATGGACAGATTTGAAGTTGTTATATATGCACATGTAATAAAGATTTCTTTGTTATGAGCTTGGCGATCTTCATTCCATATATTTAGGTTGACATAAGTTAGTCATTATTGTTTAAGTTGCCTTTTATTGAGATCAGACTTTCCTAGCATGTTTGTTGATTTTAACTTTTAAGTTTCACATTATTGAAAGGAATTTGATGTAGTTTTTAGCATTCTAGTAATATTGTTTCATCATTTGTCCAGTAGCTGTTTACTGCAATTATTTAATCAATAGTATAATGCTTAATGTAGGCATTGTTTGAAATTTAAGCAGTACCAATTAAGTAAGACTACTTTTGTTTGGGGTAAGAGGAAAATTATGCTGGTTGTAATATCACCTCTTTGTTATGAAATTGAACTGTGTAATAAAGCTTATTCCCTCAGCTTCTATTGTATTGTACTGTAACTTCTGATCGATTAACTATTGATTTCTATCTGTTAAGCATGTTATACAATTTGTAATGACAATGCATTGGTAATGCGGCACTGTAATTTTCTAATTAATTAGATATCAATTGAAATTAATATTTTAATTAATATCTAAATACAAAAAACTGGTTTAAGAATAGCCCATTTCAAAAGTTCCTCTTCAGCATCTGTAGATTTTCTGAGGCCCTATGATTATTTGTCTGTAACATTTGATGTTGTTATACAATTCAGAGTTCTTAATTTTAAATTGTACATAATGTAAATGAAATTTAAAGTGATTGGCAGCAAATAATGTTGTTGTGAAGTGTTAACAAATCCGATCAGATAAATTATTTGGTGCTATGTAAACTTGTTTTATTTGGTAAATCCATGGTCTAACTTCGTTAGTTTGAATTATTCCATTGCCTTTTAACACATTACTTGTTAAATATTTTTCCTATATTTCTTTATAATTTGATAACACATGAATAAACTTAAATTCAAAATTGCAATTTATTATAGCATAAAATCTGTATCAATTTTACAAATATATAAATGGAGACTAAAGTTTTAATTTGTTAGTTTTTGAAAAAGAAATTGATCTGCACATAGGACAGAATTTTAAACAAAAAGCCTATTAAGCATTTGGAGATGTCACATCTGCTGTGGGAATCGAACCCGCATCTTGGGCATTCACGGCCTGACGCTTTAGCTACTAAGCTAAACGTCTGATTGCCACACCAACCAAAATGTTAATGTCGTTTATCTAAATTGTATAATTCTTGCTTAATATTTTAATATAAGGAATAATCTAATTTAGTGCTAGTTAGTGTAGCTACTATTGACATAGACTACTGTAGTGTTAAAGCCTTGAGTTCAAATTTCATAATAAATTGTCTAATTAGTTTAGGCCTTGTTTTTATTGAATTTCTAAAACTGATTTATTCCCTGAAATTTGCAATATATATTTTTTTCAATGTTCTATAAATTATATTAAAAGGCCATTTGTCTATGGCAGTTTCTGTCTTAAAGGTATAGCCATAAGCAGAAGATTTAATTAAACACATTGAAACATAGGTTTATTGCTTCCGTTTTTTCCTTGAATTAGGTGAGAGGGACAATTTATTCACCTCTGGTTGTGAAAACTCCATTTGTTCAACTTTTATATCATCTGTAGATACAGAATCTAGAAGGACAGAATCTAGACTTTGTAACTGTTCCTGTTCTAAACTGTGCAACATCTGAAAGCCAGGTTCAAGAGATGGTGTGAAGGCACCGTCAAGAGCTGCTGGAAAATGCAATTCTGGTACTTCTTCAAGTTTCAACTGTGGTGCTATATCTCCTAAGGCCAAAGATTCACACTGACTTCTTAAATCTTCACATTTCTTTTTAATTTTAGCATGATATCTCACCACACGGTTTTCATAAAATTCATGCAAATTGCCTACATTCAAATCAACAAAAACCTTTGAAATAACGTCAGGGAACCCAGACTTCATACCCATGGCTTCTCTGTCCACTACGGTTCTCATCAGTTTGCACATATTGGTCATGTAAATATCTAAGGCATCTGACACTGCATTCACAACTGTGTTTGTGCAAGTCGCTACGCCGACATGACCTAACGCTATCGCGGCACACTGGCGTAATGCACGCTTATGGCTTTCAGGTGTAAAAGGTAACACAACTGGACCTTTGCCTAGAGAAAATTCGCAGTACTCTTTCACAAGGAAATTCATAGGCGGAGTGACTTCGTGTTCCAATTTTAAAACTGGTTCTGGCGGTTCTGGTGGTAGACTCAAGGCATCTAATCGAGCGCCTTCAAAGACTGCATTTTCTGTCTGTTCTAAAATAGCGCTTAATTGCCTTGAATAGGCATGTAATTGAATCGTATGTGTTATTAAATTTGGCTTCGGGAGTTCTATGGGTGAAGATTTAACAGTAATTGGTATTTCGGGTATATTTTGCATGCCCAATTCTATTATAGGGTTAAAATTCACCGTCTGGTGAATTGTTTCCTCATTTTCATCATCTTCGAACTCTCCCCAAAGTTTTTTTGACATTTTAATTCCTTTTTTACAATTTTACTTAAGATTCACGCCATTAATGGCGCAGGATATATTTACTAAGTTAAATAAATATTGTTCTTCTTTCTTTAGAGCTTCTCTTTAGATAATTCTGCCATTGAAAAAATATTATTTTTAACTTTATTCTATTTTACGTTATTAAAACTCCAATCCAACTCGAACTTCATTACACATCTGTCATCTGTCAACATAGGGTTGTCGAAAAAATATCGATATATCGATATTTTTGATTTTATATATCGAAATTTTCAGCCGATACATTTGGATCAAATATATCGATTAAAAAAATATTCAATACCGAAAATTTTTCAATTTCGAATCTGGCACAGTGCCCGTAGGTGTAAATTTTTTATACTGGAGATACCTTTTTTTTAAGACAAAGGGTTTCTAGGACCTATATCCGATATATCGATATTTTCTCTTCAATATATAGAGACCAATATTGATATATTTATAAATATCGATATATTTCTTCGCTTTTTACATCCCTATGTTAGCATAGATGATACAAGATGTAAATCTGCTGCAGATAGGGCTGCAAACATTTGTCATGTCTTCGAGTATATTAATAATTATTACGGCAGATTAAAAATTTTATCATAGTCAATGATATTTTGTACTTGAAATATACGCTTACATAACAAAATCTTCGGTCGACAGTGTTCCTATGTCCAAACAGAGTGAAAGCACACATTCACACGTTTCGTTCGAATGTAGTAAATATCATTGATTATAGTATTTAAAAGTCATTACAAATGATCATTCGGACCGCCCGGGAGGTAAATCGATCATTATTACAGGGCGTCCTTTAATTGTATTATGATCGACCCATGGTTGCTGCTTGTATACAAATGAGACATCAGAAATAAAGCCACAATTACTATCAGCATGTACTGCAATAATTGGAATTCCAGTACTCAATTTCTTACACAACATGTTTCTTTTTAGTATCTTTGAGTAATATCGCATATTATGTCTATATATTGTACAAAGCATTATTTTCATACAAAATGGGCCTTTGCCTCACTATTTTATCGGGCTACCTGTATTTTGTGGCTGACAGCAACGCAGAAACAATAAGCACATGTGAACTGAGTGACACCTTTCGTGACTGACCGCTCTGTCAGACAGGCACACTTTCATCGTAAAAATATCCCCATATATAGGTCCCATTATCAATTGTGATTGCCAAGCTGGGGTTCGAACCTCCATCCGAGGATCTCATGTCATGCGCCACTCGTTAGATTGTCTATCTCTCGGTAGTTGCGGAGTTACAGCGAAGCCGATGGTGGCATTGTAGACCAACTTCGATGTTCTACCGAATCTTTTCAAGCCACCGGGCTATCAGCAAACTATACTTACAAGAAAATAATAATAAATGTTCATTTGAGTTCCCCTAACATTTAAGACATATTTCTTTCGCAATCTGAAATCGTAACACATACTGGCAAATATAAGATTTATTGAAACTTCTATCAATGGCAACTGCATCTCTTTGATGTAAACATAATTATGTGCATCGTCCCTGAATTTTTTTGATTCCTTCTAATAAAATTAAGTATTTCCGATATTTTTGTCGACATAACAATACAACATTCATTCGACAATGCTCTTAGATAATGTTAAGCTTTTATTATCATTGATTGGCTACGCGTAGATCAGCTTGAAATACTAAAAAGCACAAATCAGGTCTTTCAGATATGTTTGTCGACATATCAACACAATATGCGAATTCTAATATCTTTATTCAACATAGGAGAATTACACTCACCTATTGATTGTCATATTACCATTCATTCGATCATGCTCTGAACTAATGTAAATTTTTCATATCATTTATCTACCCACAGTGACATCAGCTTGAAATCTTAGGTGGGGTCGGCATATCATCATTCTCGGGTTCGTTTTTATAGTGCTGAATTAGCATTTAATATCGCATAAAAGTCAAAAAAAGTAAAGTAACAGCCTATACATATCCCACTACTGGGCAAAGGTCTCCTCATTTTACAGATCATAAACAGGTCCACCACGCGGCCCCACTGCGGATTGGCGAGCTTCAAATATCTTCGAAATATTTTTTTTTGTTATTATTTCGAAAATATGCAGGTTTCCTCACGATGTTTTGCTTCATCGTTGAGCACGTGATAAAGTCAGCACTTAAAATTAACAATTTCATAAGTGCTGTCACCGGGGATCGAATTCAGATTGCTCGAGTATATTAAATTAAAGGCGAGCACCCGGACACTGAGCATCACGGCTCTTCATTTAATACCTCATATTGTAATATAATGTA